AGCTGCAAAGGATCCAAACTTCCAAAATTCCAAACACCTTCCCCAACATGCACCCTAGGGCCAAGGCAACTTCCCCAACAGGCACCCCAGGGCCAGGCCACAGCAATGGCTTCTTAGGCTTTCAAAGCTGCCGTTTGCCAGCCCGCAAACCCTCCAAAACTCTCCAAACGCTCCAAACGCTCCAAACCCTCCAAAACCCGCCAAACCCTCCAAACACCGTCCCCAGCAGGCACCTCAGATCCACAGCAATGACTTTCTATGGGCCTCAAAGCTGCCGTTTGCCAGCCTGCAAAGGATCCAAACTTCCAAACACCTTCCCCAACATGCACCCTAGGGCCAAGGCAACTTCCCCAACAGGCACCCCAGGGCCAGGCCACAGCAATGGCTTTCTTAGGCTTTCAAAGCTGCCGCTTGCCAGCCCGCAAACCCTCCAAAACTCTCCAAACGCTCCAAACGCTCCAAACCCTCCAAAACCCGCCAAACCCTCCAAACACCGTCCCCAGCAGGCACCTCACTCAGATCCACAGCAATGACTTTCTTGATGCTTTCAAAGCTGCCTTAACAGGGGGCCAGGGCCACAGCAATGACTTTCTATGGGCCTCAAAGCTGCAGTTTGCCAGCCTGCAAAGGATCCAAACTTCCAAAATTCCAAACACCTTCCCCAACATGCCCCCTAGGGCCAAGGCAACTTCCCCAACAGGCACCCCAGGGCCAGGCCACAGCAATGGCTTTCTTAGGCTTTCAAAGCTGCCGTTTGCCAGCCCGCAAACCCTCCAAAACTCTCCAAAACTCTCCAAACCCTCCAAACGCTCCAAACCCTCCAAAACCCGCCAAACCCTCCAAACACCGTCCCCAGCAGGCACCTCAGATCCACAGCAATTACTTTCTTGATGCTTTCAAAGCTGCCGTTTGCCAGCCCGCAAAGGCTGCAACCCCTCTAAAATTCCAAACACCTTCCTTAACAGGGGCCAGGGCCACAGCAATGACTTTCTATGGGCCTCAAAGCTGCAGTTTGCCAGCCTGCAAAGGATCCAAACTTCCAAAATTCCAAACACCTTCCCCAACATGCACCCTAGGGCCAAGGCAACTTCCCCAACAGGCACCCCAGGGTCCATCCATCCATCCATCCATCCATCCATCCATCCATCCATCCCCATCCATCTATCCATCCATCCATCTCTCCCTCTCCTCTCTTCCTCTCTCTCTCTCTCTCTCTCTCTCTCTCCCCACAGTCCCCCCCAAATAGAGGGGGGTCGGCGGCACCTGGGCGCTAGCCCATTCTATTATCACTTATTATCATGTAGCTATGTACATTGACTGTATAGTTTTGGAGCCAATAAGGATTCCATCATCCTCATTGTGAGCATCGTCCAACGGCAAAATGGGAGTACAAGCACGAGAACTGATCCCCACAGAGACTCATCGAACAGCCATTCAGTTGGTCACTTCGTGAGTGCATCTCAAGAAAGGATTCTTGACTGTGGCCTCTGGAAAACACTTGGTTACTTCTAGTTCTGTACCAAGCTTGTGAGTATGGTTTTGGCTCAAATATGTTGGCAGCCATTTTAATGTTCACAGTTGATCATGGACTTTTTGCCCATTAAAATTGCTGCAAAACTGGGGCTAGCTGATTTGCCAGCATCCAGCCGTTTGGGTTGCATCACTGCCAGTTATGAGTCAAAACCTAGTACCCTACCCAAAATAGTTGTTTTATAGCTGTTTAGTGGATGGTTAATAATGGTTAGGAAGTTTTGACCCCCTGAAATCGATGGCTCCTGTGGCCGCTGCACCTTCCCTTCGATGATGGTTCCATTGTTGTCCACCACCTGGGCAGAGGTGACACTTCAAGCAGGTCATCGGGTCGTCCAAAAAAAGGCTAGGTTAAGAATGGATGTCCCACCATGGATTTTGATCGAAGGAAGTTTAGAAGTCAAACTTCCGACAATATGGACAGATGAAAAGCAGAGATGGGAAGAGCCAGAGAGAAGAGAAGTGGAAGAGAGAAGAGTCAGAGAAGAGAAAGAGTCAGAAGAAAGAAGCTGACAGGTGCGCGAAAAGGTAGGAAAGTCGTGAAACAATGCGTTTTTCCCATGATTTATGGCTCCGGAGGGTCGAAAAGTAGGCTCGCTAAAGCGGCGGGTGCGGAGCCATCTGGCCAAATGAGAGATGAAAAATTGCACGCCGTTGTGGCACGAAGCACATTTCGAAGTCAAAATGTACAAAACACACCATGCTCGGACCACTTTTGGAAATTGAGATGTCGAAAAAGTGCACGCCGTTGTGGCGCGAAGCACATTTCGAAGCCAAAATGTACAAAACACACCATGCTCGGACCACTTTTGGAAGTTGAGATGTCGAAAAAGTGCACGCCGTTGTGGCGCGAAGCACATTTCGAAGTCAAAATGTTAAAAACACCAGGGGTTCGTTCGGACCACTTTTGGACGTTCAGATGTCGTTTCGCGTGGCAGGCGCAAGGGATTGTGCACCTTCTCAAAAGTGAGCAAAACGTAAGGGTTTTGCAGCATTTCCAAAAACGATGGCAGGCGTGGGACATTTGAAGAGAATCTGCAAAGATGCATTTTCCGTGGCAGGCGCAGTACAAGAGACATCTTCATCAGAGCTGTTAGGAGGTCCGGGCGCTGATTTCCTGAGAGAGGTTGCTTTTTGGAGCCTCAGATCTTCAGGTTTGCTGAAATGATTTTGCGTGACAGGTGCAGCACTTCGTATGACCTGGCATCACTTTTTCGTGGCAGGCGCAGTACTTTAGACAGGTGGAGTGGAAAAATCGCAAAACGCATTGGTACGATGCCGTCAGCGTTGCATGCAACTTTCCATTTTTGAAGGAAGTCTCGCAGAATTGCTTCGCTTTTGATGTTGTCAACTTCGAAAAACGAGGAAGTCTCGCAGAATTGTTTCGTTTTTGATGTTGTCAAGTGCAAAAATTGAGGGTCTCGCTGACTTGTTTCGTTTTTGACGTTGTTAAGTTCAAAAACTGGGGAAGTCTCGCAGAATTGCTGCGTTTTCAAGCTTGCAGAAAGATAGATAGATAGATAGATAGACAGACAGACAGACAGAGAGAGAGAGAGATATAGATAGATGGATAGATGGATAGATGGATAGATGGATAGATGGATAGATGGATAGATGGATAGATGGATAGATGGATAGATAGATAGATAGATAGATAGATCGATCGATCGATAGATCGATAGATCGATAGATCGATCGATAGATAGATCGATCGATAGATCGATCGATAGATAGAAAGATAGATAGGTAGATAGATAGATCGATAGATAGATACATAGATAGATAGGTAGGCAGGTAGGTAGATAGTCAGAGAAAGAGAGAGAAAGAGAGAGAAAGAGAGAGAAAGAGAGAGAAAGAGAGGAGACCTCAAGCACCTTTCGGTCCATCAGTGGTTCGCTCTGCCATCCGTGATTCACAACAACCAACAGCTCCTATAGGTTACCTATTTTTGAAACTTCCGCCACCGCCTTGTGCGGTACTACTGGTAATCCTCAATACATATAATACATATAATACATATATCAACACATACACATATATCAATATCAATATGTATTTATATATATATATATATCAATTATCAATATATATATATATGAATATATTGGATAGTATAAGCCCCTAGGCATCCAACAACTGGGGTTTTGAACTGCGATCAATTGGTATTTATAACTTCGGAACCCCAATAAGTTGGATATAATTATGACCCAATATAACTAACCCAACATATGGTATAACCAGTATAATCCTTTGGATATTATGATATTATGTACTCCCTTTTTCTATGATGGGATTCAAACCTCAATAAGTTGGGATATAACTATAACCCCGTGTAACTTGCTGATGGGCAAAGGAGTTTCGAATTCAAAACCATCTGAAGCCAAAGTGACATCAGGACTTCTTTGTAGTCCGTAAAGATAGGACATGACAGACACAAAATAGGAGACGCACACTGTGAACATGGGTGTTTTCCTTTGTTTTCCGGGTGGGCAATCAGCCTCAGGGATCAAAGAGGACATGAGCCTTCCGTGCAGGTGAACGACTCATCTTTTCAGCTGGTCTTCATGTGTTTCTTAAAATTGGGTCCCCGCCGCAACTCCACGGATTGTATGCCACATTTTTTTCCCATGCATTGGACACATGCCCCAGGTTCAGACAAACTTTTACATCCCCATGTTGTCGAGTCTACATCAATTGTATCCCCATCATATCTAAATCTCTCCACCGAGGTGGTGTCTAAAACCCCAATGTTGCTGGTTCAATATGTTCAATCACGATTCCTCCAGCCAAAGGTTGGTTGAGGGCCCCAACCACCATGGCAGCCTCATCGTGGAAGCAACTGCCATCCCAGCCTCTGGGGGCTGCACCATCCAGAATTGAAGCTACCAAGATATACAATGGCATACTGATGTATCAGTGAAAATGCGGGTGACCATCCAATTTTGGAGGTCGACAGTTAGCCATGGGCCAATTTGGGAGCTCAACAGAAAACGGATGATCTGGAAAATTGATCTCGCTGGGCCCAATGTATCTACTGAATTTGACCAACAGATCATCTGCCAAGCTCGCTCTGAACCCAACTTGGGCTCCCACTGTCTGGCACTGGCTGCGAGGCCAGCGCCAAGTTGCAGTACGTGCCTTGTGGCATGTAGGCGTCAACTCCAACGAGCGACCATGAGTTGTTGGAGCCTGTGCGCGTCTCCCTTAGTGCACCAACGATACCCGGATTCCAGGGTTCGTATGTTCAGCTGCTTCCCATGCCATCCTTTTGGATCACACAACCGTAAACAAAGGATTTGGGATCCTAAAGAGTCCGTAATATAGACATGGACAGGAATTGAAGGTCGCAAATGAAAAAGGCTCATCCCTTGTTTTGACCATCCGCAGTAAATCCAATGGAGTCAATCTTCAATGGACGATCCACATCATGTGGGTATGGGCCGAAACTTGGGTACCAATGCACCACAGGGTCACCGAATAGAGCTGAGACACCAGTTGTAGCCGTGGTTCAAAGCTACAAAGGATACGTTGTGCAATCCTCAAGGATCGAAAGGCCCTGAAATCTGGTGGTTTAAACGGTTTAAACTGCTAGGATTGATGGAACATTAATGCATTGATGGGCTGAAGCAGGCCTCAAAGTATGTCAAAGTCATCTCTGTTGCTGGAGCAACTCCAGACGTGTCCGAAGCTGCGTAGCATGTTCGCAGCTGAAAAGCTCCTAGCAGGTTGAATCACCAAGGGGCCGAAGGCTGCATGCCCCGACTTGTCAGACCACAAACGCCAGCGGGTCACCTTGATCCATCAATTTCGATGGATCGATGGGGTGATCAACACCCCGAGAAAAACAAAGGACTTAAACGGTGGACAAAGTTTGGGTATGGAGGTTTGTAGGAAGATGGCGAAAGGAAGATGCTTCGGATCACCCTCCGTGACGGAGTCCATGTTGGTCCAAGAAACAGAATCCCAAGCGGCAAAGAGAAAAGTAGTGCTGTGCCCAAAAAAAAAAGACTCAAAGTAATACTGCTGGTATTCCCAGCCTATACTGATCCCCTAACTTTTGACCCCAGTGGGATCCATTTTTCAGTGACGAGACCAGATTTTGCCTTCAATTTTGACCTACGATGGGGGTCCAAAAATGGGCAAGTGTGCTTTCTTTGACCAAAACAAGGACAAGGACATTGATTTGTGTGCCACATACCTCGACAGTGAACATGAAGTTTTCAACGTGGATGATTCATCTGCCATTCCACAAAAAAATATCATAAACAAGACGTAGAAAAGAGTGAAAATATGTTCTTCTCCGGTACAGTAACACTCTTAAACACAAAAGCGCAGGTTTGCAGGTGGCTTGGTATCTGATTTCTGAATTTTCACATGGATATAGAGATTTCAGAAACTATGCAGCTATGTCAAATTTTCAAAACAATGGTTTAAAACGATTTGAAACCTCTGTTTCACCATTTCAAGCCATTTACTGTAAACACCATTTTCCACCATTTTGATCACCATTTTTCCATAGTGATCACCATGGTGATTTTCCACTTCGCCACTGGGAACACCACATCGTCCGCCAAGCAACTCCACCATGGGCCAAGTCTCCCAGGAGTCGTCGGAAGCGCACTAAGCCAGCCACGCCCTGCCAGCGCTACTAGCGGTCCCCGGCTACCCCCAGCACCAAGCGGACCAAGCGGTCAAGGGTTGATCGGATAACAATGAAAAATGGTGATTTCATGGGATATGAATGGGGATGTGTATATTATATATATTACAACGGTTTATAACTAAGCAACTGTAATTTATCCGGTCCCATCCCCCGTTCCTATTAAACACCCCCCATAAACCATGGTTTACTGGGGGATGATCTCGGACCATAGAATGGGGGGTGTTTCATATATCAGGGGGATGGGATTAACCCCCCAAAACAGATAAACAAAAACAGTCAAATCTAAGCCTAAAAGAGTGGCAAATGGATGACGTCATGTACTTTTCTCTCTCTATTTGAAGCTTGCTAGAAACATCTCACCAATGGCTGGTGAGTTTCAGGATCAACTACCTGGTGACAGGGGAAGATTGAGACATACCCGGAACTCTTTGATCAAGGTCATCTGCCTGCCAGCGATGTTCGCAGACCTCCGAGGCGAATCTGATTCCGATTGATAAAACAACGGCATCACGGAAATCAGTGAAAAACTGCATCTGTCACCATCAAATGGATGTGGGTCAAAATGGAAGACCTAGGGGACCACAGATTTTAGTCTAGTTTCGTATTAACCATCCAATTATTGGGGTACCTAATTTTGACCCATACCCAAATCGCTGAATGATCTAAATTGAGACCCAGACCCAAGGATGTTCAAGGTCCTCTTTCGAAGTGGATCAACTTTGGGATGACAACTTTGCTTCAAACTTTTGGTGGGTGACAAGGGCTCGGACAAGCCCTCCACATCAAGGTGTGGTGGCACATCAATGGGGGCAATCCAAATGACATGGTAAAGAGGGCCCAAAACGGTTCTTTCGGTCTAAAGCTTTGACCTATACCCATCTAGAAAGCACGCTAAGATGCCTTTCACCTGAAAATGCAGTTCAGATTTGTCCTGGTCATACGCATCTGTGACAGGAGATGTCGATGGAGTGGATCGACATCGCCTAAGCTGTCTCTGTGTGTATGTACATTTACATCTACTGATGTATTTTTTATTTCTTTTTATATACACATTATCATGCATGCATGCATGCATGTATGCATGCATGGATCATGCATGCATGTATGTATGTCTGTGTAATGTAATGTACTGCACTGCACTGTACTGTACTGTATGGATGTATAAATTGATAATTAATGCATATACATATACATATATATATATATTATATACATTGTTAAGTACATGTATCCATATCACTCTCGACGCTGGGAGCCCCAACCCTGAGGGCGACAAAGGACGATCCCGCCAGGAACCGTTTTGGACTCCGGGTGGGCCCTGGTCAAAATCTTCAAAGGCCTCGGCTGCATTGGTTCATGGCCGGAAAATCCCCCAACTCAATGGAGGTAACCTCAGGCGTTTGGGAAAATCCATGGAAAATCATCATGTTCAAAACCCATGGAAAATCGTAGCTTTCTGGTTGAGAATGGGATTCCTCTCATGGTGATCAACCAACCCGGGTTTTCGTCAGCAACTCAACCTTGCTGCAGCGGATTCTGGCAACAGCTACCAACACTGCAAAATGTATGGAGTGTTTCCAAGATCTGCAAAGCATGATGCACTTTCCAAGTGATGTGCCACGATTTGAAAATGATTCATCCAGGTTGGTGTGTTCAATGTCTTGTGTCACACAGACTTTCACACCCAGGAAACGCTTCATGCTTCTGAGATCAAAACATATGATGACATGATACCTTGGCTCATAGAAGTAATCCACAATCGTCATGCATCAAACATGGTCACGGCTTCTCTTACATGTACAGCTGCGCAGCTGCTGCCAATCAAGCAGCAATACAAGCCCTCAAACCAATTTCTTGCATCCAAATTATATATATATATCCCTTCTAGTTTCTACGCGTTCCCTTTAATGCACCAAGTATGCAACCAGCACAACTGAGATAGCTGCGGACACCGTCTGCATAGGGCCATGCCTGGGGTCTTTGATTGTCACTCCACGGCCGCTCTGAAGTCCATGCATGTCCAGACCCAATCGAAATCAGCGAAAAATCAAGCGCCAACCACGAATCACCAAACTCGTTTCCAGGAATTTATATAGGGGGATTAAAGGGGGCTTGTCTTGGGCCATGCCACATCCACTGGTGAGGACCAAGGCTGGTGCAAGCATAAAGAGCTGAGCCAAATTGTAGAAGAGTCCTTGGAAACTGGGCCATGACCCGGGAAGAATATGTCCCACTGAGAATTAAATGCGAGAAACATTTTTTTTGGAGGGGAAATCCATTTCTAGAAGGTTATATGCTTGGTAAGAATTCCTGTCATTGTTTTCGCAAGCAACTTCCATGCTTTGAAAGCAAGAACTTAGCAGTATCAGGAATGCAACCAGGAATGCTCGGAGAATGAACTTGCCGATCCAGTGCCCCCAAGTAGCTGTTACCAACGTGCTTGTCACAGTTCTTTGATTGGAAACACTGGAAAAAGCGCTGCCTAGGTTGGGGGGAACGCATCTTAGTGGTTCCTTATATCTCTGCGGGCAGGATGCTTGGGGGTGCATCCCAGGAATCGTAAGTGCTTAATAACCTATATAATATGTTTTTGGAACATATATATATATACATATATATGGAAATAGGGTCATATGACTTGGCAGCGACTTTCCTGGGATGCACATCCAAGCACATAGATATTACTAAGATCAGCTCCATGTTTGTACATCGGGCGGCAATCACCAATGTCCTGCACAGCTGGGCTCTTGGGACTCTTCAAAATTTCGACATGGCTCAACAAATAAGATAAGCATGGGTTAAGAATGGGTTATTCCTGGGATAATAATGGTATAACATGGTATAACCGTTAAGAATGGGATCATAATGGGCTAATAATGGGATAACCGATAATCTATTTAGGCTGTTCTGAACTCAACTTGAAAAAAATGCCAAACAGGCCATCATTGCAATCGTTCTGCAGTAAAGTTGGAATCGGAAACGGTGCAAATGGAACGGTTCTGTCATCGCCGTACGAAGGTTTGCAAATGAGAGCAATGCATCAGTTATCTAAAGACAAGCGGATTGTGTTGAACAGGGACTCCAAAAACAGCTGCCAATGCAAGTCACGTCTTCCCTTGTGAGTGTTGAGTCTTGAGCTTTCAAGAATCTCATTTCTGCACATCAGCTGGCGGAAGTCCTTTCCATCCCAACCTTAGTGGTCGATTGGCATGATCAGCAAACGCTCGTCCTGTTTTACCACGGAGTGTGGCGAAAAATATGTCATGCTCCCACTTGGAAATCACACACCTTAACATCTTGAAACTTTGAAAAAATGTGTCTCAAGATTGATATGTTCCATCACTGTAACACCGTGTGTGTGTATATATATATATACATATACATAGGATCTCATCCTGAGATTCGGACGGCAAACAGGACTGTCTGGTGGTCCTCCCTTTGCAGGTTTCCATCGCTGCCGCTGTTGATCGTGATTGTCGATCTTGGCCACATCGTGACAGGTTTGCCACATGGAAGAGATTGCCGGGTTAGGCCCAAGAAAACTGGGAAACTAAGGATTCTGATTCTCCCATTGATGTGAAGGGTTGCGAAACCCGGTTTTGAGACAAAATCCACATCTAACCATCCTTGGCTCGTCGTGTGGACAGAACCATGTGCATCTTAACTGATGCTGCCTTGGATAAACCACCATCCAAAATCTGGAATCGTTGTTGGCCCCATACTTCGCCCAGTTACATGTTGAGATTGCGTTCCAACCTGTCCATGTTGATCGATTTTCCTGAACTTGGAAAGTCCAATGAAAGTCAAGGGTTCTATCAGAAGTGGGTTTCTCAAAGTGGGGGATCCCCAGGCCACGATGGGTAGTGGATGATTTGGGGGTAACCCCCATGACTCCCCGATCCCCCCATTTTTCGGCTCCCCAGCAAACAGCAGTGCGATGTCCTCGGTCTTTTCTCCATGGTGGGTATGGTTCAAAACCTGATTGTCACATCAAAATAGTGTTCTAAACTGTTTTCAATGGATGTTCACCCCAAAAAAAATATGGAACATCATACCTGTTGACCCATGTCCATGTTTTTTGAAACGGAGGGGTGTTGCGCGTGTTTTGCTCAAGGGTCAAAACAGTTTTGTGGTTCCCATTGACCCAAAAAACGTCCTTCCCCCGTACTTGGCTTTGCACTGGCGGATAAGCAGTGTCACAAATGCTGTAGACCTGGCAACGGCAACTCGCTGTTGGGCCGCCAAGCCTCCCTTGAAAAATATGAACAATGAGGTCAACAAGTAATTGGGTATATAATATATATATATTCTCTATTCAAAGATAGGTTCCCCACTTTCGGTGTGTCGCTGATATATTGTTCAAGTTGTTTATATTTGCGCATTGTATCGTGCTATAAAGTTCATGTTTGATTCTGCTGTGTGTACATATATACATATATATATATATATATGCACCATAGACCATAGGCACATTGACTGTAATGGATAGAATGAACCATGTTCAATGTTCAAATGTGAACAGCTACCCCTCTTAAAGTATGTAGAGATGTTTGGATTTTGAATCTTCACCCCACCTACATATGGGTATCGGTGTCGCTCAACCATGGTTTCCAAGACAGGCTGCCAATACGTGGTGATATTGGGGTTTGTTTTAGCCCATGCCACAACGGCTCGTCATCTTTGCAATGCACGATGCCTTCCAAAACCTGCATTTCGCGCAGGTTTTTAAAATCCATGTTCCAAAAGGGGTCTCCGACGTAATTTTTTCCAGCTCGTCGCATGTATGTTGCTTTCAAAGTTTTGCACGAAGAAACACATTGGATTGGTCCTTCTCTTGAGATCGCCACTGCCAACTTCTAACGTAACTCCAAAGTTGTGGTTTGATTGCCCTACAAAATCGACCTGTATCGAACAGGATGTCAGGAATCCATTTTTTGATACTCTTCCAAGAAGAATCTGCCTTCTGTGCTCAGCAACTGCAATTTTTTAGTGAACTCTTTAAAGTACGTTATAAGTGTGTGTGTGTGTGGGTGGAACATCTGAATAGATGTAAAACTTCTACCTAGTGACGCACCTGGATGCTGTTGCATAGCTGGTGGTCACATCATTTGGTGATTCTGTCCGTCTCGCCAAGAAAAAGGAACCATAGTGACGCACCTGGATGCTGTTGCATAGCTGGTGGTCACATCATTTGGTGATTCTGTCCGTCTCGCCACGAAATAGAAACCGTAGTGATGCATTTAGAGCAGGGGGCACGGCGCCACTTGTCCTAGCCGTGCCAACGAAGCTGTGGACAATTGGTGGATGAGGTACTGGACGCAGTATCTTGTACCTGCACGTGGTGATTCTACCCGTCTCGCCACGCAATGGAACCGTAGTGATGCACCTGGATGCTGTTGCATAGCTGGTGGTCACATCATTTGGTGATTCTGTCCGTCTCGCCATGAAATGGAACCGTAGTGATGCACCTGGATGCTGTTGCATAGCTGGTGGTCACATCATTTGGTGATTCTGTCCGGTTCGCCATGAAATGGAACCGTAGTGACGCACCTGGATGCTGTTGCATAGCTGGTGGTCACATCAGTTGGTGATTCTGTCCGTCTCGCCAAGAAAAAGGAACCGTAGTGACGCACCTGGATGCTGTTGCAAAGCAGGTGGTCACATCATTTTGGTGATTCTTTCCGTCTCGCCACGAAATGGAACGTTTTTTCGCAGTGTCTGTCAGGTTTAACTGAAGTGTTTTTGCACGTACGATGCATTCCACATCAATAATTCGATAAGCTGTTTCTGAGCAAGTGTGTCACTCATACCGTTGTCCGACAGGGTGGTATGAGCCCTTCGGGGAAAGCCTTTCTAGGCTAAAAATTGACGGTAAAACGATGTCTGAATTTACACTTTTGAATTAGTAATTCGTTTAAGTAAAGTGAACTGCTGGCCATTTTTTCGTGTTTCACCCGTCGGTCGAAGTGTTGAACTGCGTGCCGCCGTGCCTGGCTTCACCTTTTTGATGCGGAATTTACACTTTTGAATTAGTAATTCGTGTAAGTAAAGTGGAACAGTTGGCCTTTTTTCAGGGTTTCACCCGTCGTTGTCGTTGTGTTGAAACAGCTGGCCGCTGTGACTGGCCTCATTTTTTGTTTCTCAGTCTAGGCAGGTTCGTTCTTTAGGTGTGGTTCTTTTTCTTTTAATGGTTTCTGGTGAGGTTCAATTGTGCACGTAATTCAAGGGTTGAACACTGACAGCCGTTGATGGGGTTGAAATGAAAACCGAGGGCCTTTGAGCCTTATCACGAATACTGCATGTCATTGTGGATGCATCATAGTCTGAACTGTTGACTTTCGTTTTTTCACCTGACGACTAAAAAGCCTCGCTGCTGCAGGGCGTGTGTGTGGAACATCTGAATAGATGTAAAACTTCTACCTAGTGACGCACCTGGATGCTGTTGCATAGCTGGTGGTCACATCATTTGGTGATTCTGTCCGTCTCGCCAAGAAAAAGGAACCATAGTGACGCACCTGGATGCTGTTGCATAGCTGGTGGTCACATCATTTGGTGATTCTGTCCGTCTCGCCACGAAATAGAAACCGTAGTGATGCATTTAGAGCAGGGGGCACGGCGCCACTTGTCCTAGCCGTGCCAACGAAGCTGTGGACAATTGGTGGATGAGATACTGGACGCAGTATCTTGTACCTGCACGTGGTGATTCTACCCGTCTCGCCACGAAATGGAACCGTAGTGACGCACCTGGATGCTGTTACATAGCTGGTGGTCACATCATTTGGTGATTCTGTCCGTCTCGCCATGAAATGGAACCGTAGTGATGCACCTGGATGCTGTTGCATAGCTGGTGGTCACATCATTTGGTGATTCTGTCCGGTTCGCCATGAAATGGAACCGTAGTGACGCACCTGGATGCTGTTGCATAGCTGGTGGTCACATCAGTTGGTGATTCTGTCCGTCTCGCCAAGAAAAAGGAACCGTAGTGACGCACCTGGATGCTGTTGCAAAGCAGGTGGTCACATCATTTTGGTGATTCTTTCCGTCTCGCCACGAAATGGAACCTTTTTTCACAGTGTCTGTCAGGTTTAACTGAAGTGTTTTTGCACGTACGATGCATTCCACATCAATAATTCGATAAGCTGTTTCTGAGCAAGTGTGTGCGTGCAAGCGCCAGTGTCAGTTTGGTGATTCCCCCCAAGCCCCCAGCCTATTTTCCCCACCCCAAAAATAATCATATGGTCATTCGATGACAACATCTCCGGAATGTGCACCACTTCTACCTGACGTGCACAACGACAACAAAGGACGTGCATGACATGTGCAAAAACGACAACCTTCCACGACGCCCTCGTGGGTCCGTTGCCAACAACGACAACAACAACAACAACACCAACAACACCAACAACACCAACAACACCAACAACACCAACAACACCAACAACAACAACAACAACAACAACGACAACGACAACGACAACGACAACGACAACGACAACGACAACGACAACGACAACGACAACGACAACGACCACAACGACAACGACAACGACAACGACAACGACAACGACAACCACAACAACAACAACAACAACCACAACAACAACAACAACAACGACAACGACAACGACAACAAGAACAAGAACAAGAACAAGAAGAAAACGAAGCGTTTGGCCGAGTCTAATTGGCTATTTTTCCTTTTCGTCCAATTTTCGCCATATTCGCCGGTTCAACAAACCGCCAGGACCACACAATCCGGCGACGGAGATCCAATGTGCAGAAGGTCCCCAAAGCGCGTGCTCCTGGCGTCGAAACTGGAGTTGCCCCAGATGCCATGGAGCTCACAGGAGGGGAAAATGATGCTAAACCATCAAAATCATAGGGAATTGTCCTATAAGTTTCAAACAAACCAATCTGAACACATGTAGAAAATGCCGAAATACGCCAACCATAGCTTTCGAGAAGAGAAACCATGCTGACACATTCGACAACTCAGGCGCAGGCGAATCTTCCCATTCTCCATCCTTCCAAACGTCGAACAGCACCTGTGGCATCAGGAGATTTTTCTGAAAGCTCACACAGTCCCACCATCGTTTTCTGGTCGCATTCTATGTGGGCATGGATAAAGAATAATCACCTCAAATTTTGCTGCTTTCGTCCTAAAAATCATGGACTTTGTGGGCCCTGTTGATATCCCAAATTTCACAGATTCCCTTACGTATGTTTCACAAGAAACAAGTCTTCAAAAACCAAGTGAGTAACACTTAGACCATCTTAGTTCCACTCAAATTCAGCTTCATTCAGCTTGATTCAGCTTAATTCAGCTTAATAGCATTCAAGAGTATTTGAAAAACACAGGAAATCAATACATACTTGCATATGCATGCATATGCAAAAAAAAATGCCTGACATCAACTCAATTCAGCTTAATTCAGCCTAGTTCCACTTTATTCAACTTAAATCCAACTTCATTCAACTTAACATTGTTTTTCTAAGCAACCGCTCTTTTGGGTGCCAGGGTACTCAGGGGTAACCAGCGATGTCCAATCCTCACCTGCGCCACCTGAGATCCGAAGTCAAAGTTCGTAAAGGTCCTCGATGCGATCCCGACCCGACGGGAATCCCTGGGACCCGATGGAACATGAAACGAGTGAAACGAGTCGAAGCCCAGAAAAATCCGAAACCAAAAAAGTGATCCGGATAGCGAAAACGAACAATTGCTGGAAATAATGAAAACCATGTTTGAGCCAGAACCAAATGATTCGAGCATGTTTCAGCAGTGGAAAGCACACCATCCTTGGACCAGTCATTAAATGCATAAGTTTGTTTTAACTTGGATCCAAAACAATCAAGAAGGTGAGATACCATAACCACCATTCAAAAAACAAGTGTGGGTCGTTGGGTACCCTGAAACTTTCATGGTTAACTCATCCTCCACTTCATCGCCATATCTTGGCCCATGCCCAAAGAGTCTCCATTTCCTGAGGACAGCACCCCACCATGCTAGCCTTCGTCAAAGTGTCCTTCTCAAACCTGGTAGAAATCTGCTCAAGGATGGTTTTTTTTGGGAAGTATCTTGGCCATGAAACGATTGTAGTATGCATATATGCATGTATACATATGTACATGTGTACATATGTGTATACACATAATTTACATACATGTGTGCTCTTCATCTATATTGCATGTGCATATAAATATATATATATACATACACGTGTATATATACATATATATATATACATGTGTATATACACGTATGTATGTGTATGTACACGTACACACCATCATGGAAGGAGCTGGACATTCACAAGTTCGAGTTTGAGTTGACTACACTAGACACTTGAAGATATGTCTTGCAAATCGTAAAATTAATATCCTTATAACTTCGAACTTATATATAATGGGTGCATGAATCCACATTAATGAATTGATGACCATCCCCTTTTATGGGTATATAATCCAACTTTTTACCATGGCATATGTAAGATCTTTGTCATGCATGACTGGTCCCATCCCATAAAATGTGTCACAAAGAAAGCTCCAGGATCTTCATTTTCTCCACTGAGAACACGAACTTAATGGGTCCGGGAAAGAATTCCTGCACCTCAGTCACCAAGGCACCAAGGTTTGAGTCAAGCCGTTGAGTTCCAAACCTACTGGAGGCTGAATACTCCAAAATGCCCAAAATGGGATGGTGGAACCATTTTTTCACCGCATGGCAATTGACCGGTTGCCATGGCATCATGGTCGTAATGGCACCCAGGGCGTTGCCACAAATGAAGCTGCAACTCATCAGTTACAACGATATGAGCCTGTCAGACCCTTCTGGGTTATGTCTAAACCCCCATCATGGTTGCGCATGACACTCGTAGGATGCTGTCTTTCCTATCTTCTTTAAACCATCAATCTCCAAAAGCAGCCCACCCTCAGACTTCACAGCCGTCTGGGGTCCCGGGGTCCCAAACAACATAGTTCATTGGAAAGGCTGCCAGGATGGCTAAGAAGGTCTCAGGATAGACCTTCGAACTTCTTCCAACTTTCGGCGTTGATGCTCACATGAGTTTCGAAGGGAAAATCTAGAAGCCATGGAAACAGTGGAAACAAACATGTTTCCCTCCCAAGTCTGGAAGAACGCAGGCTGAGGAGGTTTCAGGAATGAAACTTCTGTTTTTTCCCCATTTCTGTTACTTTTGCAGGGGATTGAGGCACAGCATAAAACGATCCCGCCCACATTTCCATCTTTGAGCAGCCCACATGCATCGCAGCATCCAAACGCAACCTCTTTGCGTCTAAGAAAAGGTTGGATCCAGTTGCTGGGTGAAGATCTAGCAGGGTATCCTGTTTCATTTCCAGTGGGCAAAATGGGGGTATCCCAATAGCTGGATGGTTCATGGAAAATCCCAATCGAAAATGGATGATAACTAGGGGTACGCCCATTTTAGGAAATCTACATTTCTGTTCACAATCACTTCCAAGCCCAATCCCTGATTTCAAAGTCTATCTGGAAGCTTTGCACTTGATCAAGTTGCAGGGAATCTGTGCACTATTCCACATTTGGGCCCAAGGGCCGCTCATGACTTGTGCTTCATGGGATTTGGATTCCCCCCATCAAATCCGATCAAGTCCTAAGGTTTAGTTCATGTAAATTCAATAACTAATACCCATCAGCCCTGGCAGTCTCAGGAAAACCAATCCACCAGGTTTTGTGTGGGGCATCCACCGGCATGTTGTGTCCTCAGCTTCCCACATCGTCACACCTCGCTCAAAGATGACCTGCAACACGTGCTTGCCCGCAGCACCCAGCCAGACTCAGCCCCCATTTTGGCCCCTGATGAATAGACCCTTCAGGAAGTGTGGGAATTTCAGGCGCAACCGCCTTCACGAAATTCTGCAGCTGCTCTTGAACCAGCACCTGAGGCGTCGTGCGAAAGAGGCAGCAGCTGGCTCAAAATGAGCTGTTCAGAAAATATCAAAATTCTGCCACATCTGCAACATGTGCTACCAGAAAGTGGCTTCTTGGACCTCCCTTTTGTAAGAACCTTCGAGCTCCCCAGTTGCCAGCTGACATTCTCTGTGTCCAAATCCACCAAGCCATACAAATCACAGAGGAATCGATTGTTCGTCCAGGGCCTCGATTGCAGCTGGACACTTGGGTCAGCTGCCGGGCATGTTTATATATGTATACATATATGTACATATATAAACATATATTTATATGTGTATATATATATATACATTCACATACATACATATATATATATATATATGCATGTGTATATTATATATATACATGTGTGTATACATACATACACAGACACATACACAGGCACCCAGACACACAGACACACGGACACACGGACACATACACATACATACACATACAAATACCACACATACATATACATATACAAAAACATACACATATACAAAAAAAAATAGGCATAGACATATACATATACAATTTGTAAGAATATAGGATTTAGTCATAGCGAAATGATGATTTTGGTTTTGCAAAATGCATCATAGATTCTTATGTTTTTCCTTACGAACCCTTACGGCATTTTGGTTCCCAAAACGCAGCCAGCTGGCCAACGCACTTTGCTGCGCATCGTCTCAAGCCATGATCTTTCTCAAGGCACTGCAAGAGACGTGGCGGTTATGTGAAGTCAGTAATGTATGAACATGTACATGAATGCCCACCCCACCCCGCCCCCAACCCCCACTTTTGTGGGACGGTAAAAGATCTGTCTGCATATACATGTACATACACATAAGCATTGACACACACATACCTGTACATATATATATATATACATATACACTTTTACATATACATATACATATGCATATGCATTTGCATATACATGTGTCTATACATATACATGTACATATACATACACACGCATATACGTATACGTCTACATATATCCATATATGGTGTATCATATCATATATTAGGCATATATATATATACATACATATATGTATATACATACATATATTATTCATATATATATATACATATATTATGTATTGCATACATCATAGTGATCACCATCATCATCATCGTCATCATCATCATCATCATCGTCATCATCGTCATCGTCATCATCATCACCAGCGTGATTATTCTTATAACCAATGTTTTCATGATGATTCTATATGATTCCGATTGTGATTATCATTATGACTTTGATTATGGTTATGATTACAGTACATTTTCATGCTTCTCGCTGCTGCTGCTGCTGCTGCCGCTGCTGCCGCCGCCGCTGCTGCTGCTGCCCCTACTGCCACTACTGCCACTACTGCCACTGCTGCCACTACTGCCACTACTGCGGCTACTGCTTCTGCTGCTACAACTGCCACTATTGCCACTACTCCCACTACTGCTACTACTGCCACTACTGCTACTGCTGCTATGAAATGCCACTATTGCCACCACTGCCACTACTGCTACCACTGCTACTATTGTGCTGTATTACATGTTTGTAATGTATATATTATATTGTATCTATTGCATATAAATATTATTGTTATTAATATTATCATTGTTATTATTACTATTATTATCATCATTATTATTATACATCCACCCCTTTAAGGGGGGTGGGGGGGGTAAGCACTGAAATATTTCAAATTTGGGGGGGTTACCCCCCCCACCCACATCTGATTTATATACGGTAGAATAAGGCAATGGAAAATCTTAACGCTGTCAGTTATGCATCAACGGGCACCTGTGGATGTGGTCAGGTACGTGCAAGATGGCTGAAGTGTGCATTTTCATGTGTTTTTCTCTCCCCAAGCTTTGCTTGTGAAATTTTTGAGGGGGGAGGTGCAAAACCATTGTATTTTACAGCTCTAGAAGCCATCCCCCCCAGAAATTCCATTTCAGCAGTAGGATTCCGTGTCTGAGTATCTTCAAAGACCAGGGGTAGGAGTTCGCAGAGGTAATGCGCGGTTTGCTTTTTGATCTATGTGTATCCAATTGACATATCTAGGCTAAAGTCTGGCATCCGGAGGACCCCCCCACCTCTTTTGGAAACCAAAAAAACACGCGGGGGGGATATTTCACGCGGTCAGGTGAAATATTTCTCAAAAAATTCTTGCCTTACCCCCCAAAAAAATATTCCAGTATTAAAGGGGGAAGATTATTATACATTTAGGTATGTACAAACTGCTCATTGGGTGCACATTGGAGATGGTGAATTTGTTGGCCTTCTCTTTTGATCGAGCTCCCCGTGCTGAGCTGCGGGCGGAATGCCACAGTTCGACTCGAAGTTTCCTTCGGAGGTTCGTTGAGCTCGTTTCGCTGGGGAAACCGATGGGATTCTGGCTATGTTACATGACCAAGGGGTATATCCATGTATATCATGATATCTCATGTATAATTCTCCATCATAAACCTTTTATTTTGTCATATTCTGGCTAGATTATAATTATTCACTAGCCTGAAAAACAGCTGAAAAGTTCGGAGATGTGGGGGTGATTCCCGTTCATTCGCCATCATTCCAGTGACATCACAACGTAAGGTCATTATAATTCAATGAAATGGATCTGCGCTCTTTGCATTTTGAAGTTACGTTGACCATTGGATCAAGGGATCGATTCAAATTCGTGGCCCACGTCAGAACTTGCATCGGCAATTTCAGCCCCTACTTTTGGTGCCATAGTGATTTCAAAATGAAAGGAACACAATCTAAAGTACAATATAAGTACATGGATATTGGACAAAAATTGGTGCCCCTAAATTTGGATGGTCAATCCTGAGGGACTCGACCCACATCGGCCTTCGTAGTGATGGAATTGCGAGCGTTCGAAATAGTCCAGTCCGGGAGTGCCTGGAAAATGCCATGTCTGCAGCTGGTCCCAATTTTTATGTTTCACAATATTCCAAGATGGTCCAAGATGTGTCAAACATGGCTGGCAAATCCCCCATAAATGGAGGTCTTCATGGGAAAATCGTGTATAGATTGTGGGATGTTCCAGCAAACCATATTTGATCGGAGAGTAGTGAGACGCACGGAGTTAGACAATTGTGGCACTGGACAAGGGGATCTTTTCTAACCGCATCTACGAATGACGTTTTTCTTTTCTGGCTGGAAATCCCCACTTCTAATAGTAACCTGAAAGCAACATATATCTATAATTATCTATATACAAACAAGGGATGTTCCAGTGCCGGGTTGGAATAGCAGAACGTGCTGGGAAAGCTGAAAAGACGGTCGGGTTTGCAGTAATTATTGATGAGATGTCGGAAGTCAGGGATCTGGATGGACAAGTCTACAACTTGGAAACTTCTGCTCATGGATTGATTTTTTTCTTGGACTTGAAAGAGGGTTACCCCCTCCACTGTCAGAAGCAATCGGTCAATGCTACCAAGAAACCTGACTGACTTCTCTATGCTTACCAAAAAGGCATCATGGCTTTTACATTGCAGAGCATGTTGCTTACAGAAACAGTAGTCACTAGTCAAGAATATCACAAGCGCATTCCAAACAGCTTGTATTCCCAGATGTCAAACAAATAAGGTCCCCGAAAGTCAGCCAAAGAAGGTGACTTTGAGTTTGGGAATACCTTCGTGCAAGCAAAAACATGGCAGCTGAAAATTCCCAGTTCAAATTGAAACTCAAAACTCATCCACAAATCTGGGATTCTCCAAAATCCTCTGCCACGAAAATCTTCAAAGCGAGCCAGCAACCAAGCGGCCAGCACGAAATTCGCGGTTGCCATAAGGCGTCCCTGACCAACCTGCTGCTCAAAATCGAACAAATGTCTGAAAAAGGGTGTGTTAGAACCTGGGTCCCCAAAATCTTATGGTTTATCTTATCATCTTTCCCAGTAAGATTGCCATTTGGGGAGGTAGAAAACATTAGAAAACCCGATCAAACGAATCCTCATCCTGAGACATGCATGAGTCATAGTGGGCACCTACACATGGAGTGGTCGATGTGCGAGCCGTCTCCTGTCATGAATTGCCATGGGCACCGGCCATTGGCTATCCCCAATCATTGTCTCTGTTAAAAATGGAATTGGAAAGCATCATAGTTAGAATCCCTTCTGTACTACTCCTGGGAGGCTTCATTGCGAAGGTCTCCAAATCATCAGACCAAAAAACACCGTCATGACTGGAGTGACCCTGATTTGGCACACCTACTTTACTTGCTCATGTGTTCTGTGCAAAAATGCATCGCAATGACAACAAGACCTGCATGAGATGTTTGTCTTTGAACTCTTTTTAAAGAGAAAAAGACTGCTCAACTGAGAGCATTCGAAAAAAGAGAACGAGGTTGGTCGCTCTCAAAATTACAGTAGGAGGATCTCCAAGAAAGACAGCAATGTGGTAAACTTGGTAAACCCAACAAGCCCCCAAAAACGACAAAATGTGCTGTGGCAAACCATGGCTATGTATGTATGGCTCTTTGTTTCATCATTCCAGCATGAAGCCCAGGGTTTTCCGCCCTCCTCCTTGCCACCACACTGTTTGCCAGCATCACGGTCCGCCCGTGGGGTCTGTGCCACAGGGGATGCCTCGTCAAGAACTCGGAAAATCCTTCGTTGAATTGGGCACTTTCCAGTTTGATATCAGTTTGATTAGTGGAAAAAAATGAAGGCGTCCAGTTTCAGATGGATCAAGAAACCCTTAGAAGTTTAAAGGCACCACCACTGATACACATATCCTGGACTCAGCAATGGCGTATGTTCGTTGTGACATAGGGCTTGTGAGACACATCCTTAAGGCCATGCCATTTGCTTGGTGATGCAGTTGGAATTCTTGAGATGCCACTAGTCTCACTGAATCTGATTTCATCTGATTTCCTTCTCTCCAGATTTTTTTTCACTATCCCTCCAAGCCCATGCTCAACACAGACCCTCGGCTCAGGGCCCAACCATGTGGTTCAGAATCAGGTCGACCATGATTGACACGCCTGCTTTCTGGCACCTGTGGTTGTGCAGCTGGAAGCTTGTCTCATCATGTCTCATCTATTTTGCCAGGTTTTGGTCTCAAAAATTGCACTAATTGCAAAGCGGGAATGGTTTGTTTGTTCAAGCCTTGAACTCCCCCAAATTGTCAAGTGAGGTATGGCAGGTATGGTTTATTCTTTGGTTCGACAATTTTCTCTTGAACTTCACAGAAACCATAGAAATTTGGAGTTCATCTCCAGAAGCTTTCAAGGTGGGAAGGTCTGTGGCTTGCTGATGCCAAGCCAGAGATCTGGCATAACCCACTGGCTAACCTGGCAGTGAAAAATCATGACAGATCATGACAGTACATTTAAAGATCCATCTAAAAACCTCGGGAACGTCCAGCAGCTGAACCAAGCCTCACCACCATGTCCTCGAACTGATCGGGGGTTCCCGAGCGTGAATCCAACTTGAAGGAGACAGGTTGGTAACCTGAGTACCAAAATCATCCAAAATCTGTTGCAAACAAAATCGACCAACCTAAGCCTTGGATTTTTTCGTCCTTTCAATCCGTCTCGCAACACTCGGTCAAATTTTATGAAACCAAAACTCTTCGGCCACAGCTATAGGCTATAGGCCACTTAGGGATCCCGGGGCCCCACTAATTTGGCGTGTGATCCGTAACTTTGGGGTAGCCTTAACTTCTTCGATCACCCAGAAGCGCGTCGACCAGGAATCTCCAATGACATGTTCAGTGGGCGGTGAGATCTGTACCGCACTGAAGCCTGCAGGACCCAGATATGTCTCACACCTCGGATTTCGCGATGAAAGCGTGCTGTGTGTGCACCAGGAAACTTCAACGAATTGAGGGCCCCAAAGCGGGCAAAACATCTGAGACTGTTCCAGGACGCGGGTTTTAAACCGTTCAGGGAATGGCCCGTCGTCCGCCGCCTTGATGAACTTTAAATCGGGGGATGTTGCCATTGCACGATGGTGCTGGATTCTTGTGGTTCCCTTTCCCTCTGGATAGACATAGCCATGCATGGGCCATGGATGCCATGGACAATGACCATATTTCATTTTTTTTTTGACAGGTGATTCCCGGGTAGATGTCCCTCCCATCAGGTGGAGACGCTCGTTGGCAATATCTTCCCAAGGCCATTCGAAGAGATGCGCCATGATGTGGTTCTGACCTGGTGACTGCGTCTGGTAGGGCGATGTTTCACAATTGGGGAGGCTGACTTGTGGCTTTGAGGACAAAATAGGGACACATTGATCAAGTAACTTTCAAGGAAATCTCTGAGCGAAACCCAAAACCACCAGAAACCACAGGAAGTGTGGACTACATCCATCCAACCTCAATGGCTATCTTCGTGAGGCCAGTTGGCCCAAGATCTCAACCAAGTCCACGCTTAGTGCTTTGTCCCGTGGAGCATAGTTTTAGGGAGAATAAAAAATGCCTAGGATACCACTGCCAGCTACCTAGGATACCCAGTTTTGCCATAAAAAAATCGGAATCTGTTTGGAAATACCAAAAATAAGGCAGTCACCACAGTTCACTAGATCCGCTAGTTCGTCAGGGAAGTGTCAGTACAATACATTAAGCCAACATATCCAAGAATGGCTTTGTTCTAAGGAACAGAAAAAATGCTAAGACATCATATCATATCTGATTAGTTTTTGACCCCGGAATTTCACACAACAACCATAAGTGAACTAATGATGTCCAATGATGTCTAATGATGTCTAATGGTTCACTGGGTCCTGGGTTGTTCAATTTTCATGTGCCCAAACGCCTGACATGTTGCAGTGCCGCGACCAGACTTCACGTCCATCTGTGATAGGTTTCGCTCTCCGGGCGTCGATGCCATCGTGACATCCTGAGGAAGCTAACCCCAGCCTATCTGATGTACATTCTGGAGAATCACATTGAGTGTTCACCAGGAAACTGGGAAACTATGGGAAACTTGTGGAAAATCGAGGCCAAGGCGATTTCAAGAAATGTTGGTTAATCAGGAGAAAACGCTCGAATAGTAGTACACCTACAATCATTTGCATAATATGAAAGCATCGTGAAGATCCCACCAAAGCCGCGTTTTGCACCCCAAGTTCCCAAGTTCGCAACAGCGGGGACTTGGGCGTACAGTTCTGTGCAAAATCCAAGTATCGCCAAATTTGGCATCTGCCCTTGGGCCAGAAGATAAAGGTGTCTCCTTTCAGCATTCTCATCCGCACCTGATGGAAAGACCAACACAACAACATGGCTGTAGAAATGACCATTTTATCCCGCAAGTTATGGTCATTTTTTAATAGGGAGAATGATGATTCACCAGAGAATACAATGGGTTTTTCCCCATTCCATTTTGAGACAAAGCTACATGATGAAGCAAGGAAATGGATTGGGAAACAGCGCGGCTTCTATGATTGTGGATACCTGCCATTGACTTGTCTGCAATCTAGGGTGACGAAATCGAGCACTGCCCCGCAAGTCTGCCTGGCAGTTGTATTTTCCAGTGGTGCTGTGACCGAAGCGATTCAGCCCGTAGCTGCCTATCCCGCGAAATGCAAACTTCTCCGCCATCCTGGGATCAGTTTCATCGGCGATCGCTTCACAGCTGGATCGCTGAAATCCATGAGCGCACTGGTGCACCGGCGCGAAGGGAATGGGCCTGCAGGGCTGATGGGGCATCCTTCCCAAGCACCAGAAACAATCCTAAAACATCCTAAAACCATGAAAGTGAAGGCAGATCATCATCGCAAATCAAATTGCAAAAAAGGATTGTTGTTCAAACATGTTGAAACCATCAACCAGTTTCATATTGGATTTTTGCTGGAGAACATTGGAGAACTATAAAAAAATCCAGTCGGTGTCAACCCGTGCGCCTTTCGATCAAATGAAATTGAACGAAAAAGGCGAGACCGCCTGGCATCCGCTGGGACGGCGCCGGAAGCTGATGGAAAACATTGGACGACGACGACGACCACCACCACAACAACAAACACAACAACCAACAAACACAACAAACACAACAACAACAACAACAACAACAACAACAACAACAACAACAACAACAACAACAACAACAACAACAACAACAACAACAACAACAACAACAACAATCACCAACTTGGTTTATTTCCTTGCTTCATCTTGCCCTATCGCTAAGTTTCACGGTGACAGTCAGAACCAGGCATGCCAGGCCCCCAGGCTGCGATAAGAGCTGACACCAACTGACACCGACTAACACTGACACCAGGCCAGGCCTAAAACGCATCCGAAGAGGATGGCCATCTGTGGCGGGAGCCTCCGCCACGCAGATTTCTTCAAGGTCCAGCTGCGAAAGCGGAGCGCCACAGAACTGTCACGATACCTCGAAACGCTGGGGCAAATGCATTTAAAATATTCGTGGCTTCCAAACATTTAGTACCAAAACCAGCCAAAAAAGAGTTGAAGGGAACACATATTTCCTCGGTCTTCGCTTACGCTGTTTATTTAGGCAAATCAGCACAATTGCCGTTCAACTGACATGTTCACCATGTTTTTGGATGATTTCTCATAACAGACCGGTCAGTCAGGTCATTAGAATTTGCCCAAATGGGGAATTTCTTATTGCACTTATAATGGATTATTCCCCAGGCACCATAGGCTTCAATACTAAAATGGTCCAAATTTTGGATGATTTGAGGGTACCCCCATGGGTTGGAAACCTCCAAATTGCCACGTTTTCCAGCCCTGGTTTGGCAGGGTCAATCTCCATATTCGCCTCCCCTCTCCGTCCAGGTCCGTCCAGGTGCAAGGAGTGTGAAGAAGCGATCCCCAAATCCTGTCTGATCCAAGGAGCCTCGGTGGAGATGTTTCACCGAGAAATTGCTATGGCTTGGTATAGCTCTGAAGACCCCGGCTTCCACGGTGGAGGGATTCTGGATATTTGGGTTGCTCGGCTCCCAGTGGACTCAGCAACTCTTGGGTAACTCGCGAAGATTGGATTACAGTAAACCCTTTACCCCACTAGCATGAAATCTCTGGTGGTAATTGGTATAAATCCCATACTCAATCATGTTCAATCCCTCAAAATGCTCCCACATTTCATGAAGGATTCAAGATATTCAAGGGATTCCACCAGGGTTTCGTTGGAAACTGAGGATATCCTCAACAAAAATAGGCTTGGAAGCTGGATCTGTGGTACAGCGGTTTCACCAGTTGGCCTTGCCGAGCTACCGCCACAACTTGCGCAGCAAACTGCAAGAGGGACAGTGGAACCAAGGTCACCAAAGCAGCATCCGCCAGCTCCTTTTGGTTGGCAGAGATGAAGGTGCTGCTGTTGCGCCGTGCCAGATATTCACACAAGAAGGGCGAGACAAAACCCGCAAGTCCTGGCCGTTTGAATCTGGCATCTTAAATACATGGAGAGTTTGGGTTCGAGTTGGTGTGTGTCTGTGTGTGCGTATCAAACCATGGACATCAAGGAAAGCACTTTGACTTCCTCGAACTGCGGACCTATCTCAAAATGACCCAACAAAACCACCGGTGACCGGTCCTTGGATGGAAACAACAATGCTGCCTGAGTTGGTCGGCACCCGATTGGGCCGGGGTTGGGCTTCATCCCCACCCCAATGGCGGGTACTACTAAGAGTACATATAATTCTATACATATACATGACTCATACCCGAATGATTAACCATATGGGCCCATGGACCCATGGACCCATACCATGGTAATATATGGTTCATGGTCTTCCCAAAATGAGAATCCTGGATGGCTGTGCAAAATCCCCCGGGAGATGACCATTCAGGTAGTGAAAGTAACGAAAAAAAACAGAAAACGGCCAACAGGTAGTGAAAGTAACGAAATATTTGACCATGGTTTCCAATGGATGCAACTAGCCTGAAACCCTGCGCCAACTCCCTTGTTTTGCAACTTCACTTGCGTCATCCCAGTATAGAACCCCACGTGTTGTTGCTTCGACATTCATTTCGGAGGGAAACAGGCCCAAAATGTTGGTGAAATCCTCATGTTTCATGAGGTTCATGTTGATAAGCCCCTCGTTTTTCATGAAGCTTCAGGATGCTTCAGGTCTGAAACAGCAGTACCCAGACTGGCTGCCATAACTCAGCAGTCTCCATCTGGAATTCAACACTCTGACCTTAACAGCCCAAGAAGATGAACAGCGAACTCCCTCGAAGATCAGGGAAACGCAACCTCAGTTCTCAATGGTTTTTACCCAAGTTATATCCAGGAAGTTGGGTATATTCTGGGCAAATTGGTAGAATTTCTTCGAATGAGTCACTTTTTGGGGTGATTTCCTGTACTAAACATGATGATGAGGCCGTGAAAGGGTACTTTGCCGGACAACCTACGCCTCAGTTGGGTACAATAGTTTGTTGTTTTGCCTTGGGTGGGTGTAATTGTCTTTTGATCACTTTTCAATGACAGGGGATGGTTCAATACCTATTGCAGCATTCGTGGATGAACATCCAGCAGCTACAGTGGATACCCTCAGTGATGATGGTGTTTGTCACCCAGATTCATGAACCATTGAATTCGTTACAGGGAATACCTGTATCCAAGAAGATGGTACGATTCCCATAAGTGTCCTTAAGTCAAACCAGTGAGTCAAGGCCTTAACATCTCGGCAAACTTAAAGGGTGGTGCATAAAACAAGTCCCTCCTGCCCTAGCCCTGCAGGTCAGCAAGCGCAAAACAACAAGGTTTACCGAAGAGGTCGTTGCCCCTCCCTTCAAGGACTCAAAAGTCGTCAACTCGACCTCTGACGACAAATATGCTAGGGTCAAGTAGGATGGTGTATGGTTTATGGTCACCCATCCCATAATGGAAATCTTGGATGACCATCCCAAAAAATATTTGCTATTTGGGGATAACACTCCAACTTGACCATGGCACAAATAACGACGGCCACGCTTGATCTTCCCAAGAAGGTGTAGGTTGAGACCTCTTCTTGAACGAGTGCTCGCAGGATGGTGGCTGGCGGCAGCAGCAGAGTCACACCCATCAACAGGGCAAAGCCATGAATGATGGCATTCCCCAAGGCTTTCGCCCATAAAATGGTGACACCTGGCAGCAGGATCGATTTCAATCTGCCGACACAATGGCTATTTTGTCACCAGGGATGGCTCTGGACACGATGGGAGGGCTATGCAATGGTTAACAACTGTTATTTTAGTTTCAGAAGACTTGAGCCTCACTGGCCAAGAAGTTTGTATACCACATACAAGTGAATGCAGGGGTCCTGTGACAACATGTTAGGGGCCTCGGATCCTCTGGGGGCGGTATTGGTGTTTGATCAATTTGATGGTGTTTGCATGTTTTGACCAATTCCATGTTTCGATGTCTTTGCACAGAAAGACAGACAGATAGATAGACAGATAGACAGATGGACAGATGGATAGATGAATAGATGGATAGACAAGATGCATAGATAGATGGATGGATAGATAGACAGATAGATAGATAGACAGACAAATAGATAGACAGACAAATAGATAGACAGGTAGATAGACAGATCGACAGATAGACGGATATACAGACTGATAGATAGATAGATAGATAGATAGATAGATAGATATAGATAGATAGATAGATAGATAGACAGATAGATAGATAGATACATAGATAGATACATAGATACATAGATACATAGATAGACAGACAGGTAGATAGACAGATAGACAGATAGACGGATAGACAGATAGACGGATAGACAGATAGACGGATAGACAGATAGACGGATATACAGACTGACTGACTGATAGATAGATAGATAGGTAGATAGATAGATAGGCAGGCAGACAGACAGATAGATAGATAATGATGGATGTATGGATTGATGGATGAGTGGGATGAGTGGGATGAGTGGGATGAGTGGGATGAGTGGGATGAGTGGGATGAGTGGGATGAGTTGGATGAGTGGGATGAGTGGGATGAGTGGGATGAGTGAGTGGGATGGATAAGACAGGATACGATAGGATAGGATAGGATGAGATAGGAGAGGATTAGATAGGAGAGGATACGATCTGATAAGATCAAATCATAGATCTCCAAAAAAGGTCGGATAACTTTTGCACCTGCAAGGGAAAATGCGAAGACAACGCTGAGAATGGCGAGATCGGGCCCACGCCAGCCGTTGGCCAGCCACCACTGGATGTAACAAGTGCTGGGGAAAAGCACCAAACTTCCCAGAATATCTGAGATGGATAGAATCACGAAGCTTCGCTTCTTCCAGAAATTCTTCATATCCTTGGCCAATGGCAACCAATAACCAATCAACTGCTGAAGCACAGCACTGACAAAATAGCTGTAAGCTGCTGATTGCTCAAACTTGCAGGAAACATGTGGTTACTTGTTTTTCAATTATGTTTTTTTTTCATTTTTTTTCATCTTTGCACAATTTACTCACAGTCTTCCAGGATTTTCATCTACCTTGAACTCATCTTTTTTCCCCTGAACCTCGTCCCAGACTCCCAGCTCGGCAGTGCATCTTCCCGGTAGGGACCCGGGGCCATACAGAACAGGAAGCCCGGAACCATCGTGGCAAGGACCACCAACTGGGCCGGCGCGATCAACGGGATGCCACCCTTCGGAATTCAAAAACTCGTGGGGACGGGACACAATGACATATAAACTCTGTACATGTACATTGGTACATACATACTAAATAAATATATACGTATACATATGCATATACATATACATATATACATACAAATATACATATACATATGCATATACATATACATACATATATATATATATATATTTACGTATATACAGATCCCATTGAGAATTGGAGTTGTTTCCATTTGAATTGCATTAGGAATTTCATGGGAATTTCCTGCCAGCCAAGTTGCTCCTGTGGTTGGGAGCAGCAGCCAATACACCGCAGGCGGAAGGGGCTCTGCAGCGGTGCCAGCCTTTCCGGAAAACAGGTGGAAATTCTCAAGACGACTTGCGGCTCTCAGGGGCAGGGCTCTATTTCTGGGTCAGGGAACTCCAGGCTCCAGTAAGGCCATAGTGGAGACTTTGCATTGCGAGGCATTGTTTGAACTGAGGAAGAAGTGCACTACAGATCACTACAGTGTCAGTGTTCACAAGAGGCAGCTTTGATCCAAATTTGTTCCAATTTGCATCCAACAATTTCCCTCACCGAGCATCCCCAGGATCCCCCCATGCCTTCGACGAGGGCGAGGCCAGGAAGATGTACGCGGTGATGAACCAGGTCACCGCCTGTCGGGTCATCTCCAAGATGCCCATGCGATAGGCTGCGTGGCTCACATCCGCCTTGATACTCATCATGAAGTTGAAGCTGACGAAAATCAAGGAGCCTTGCAATGCTGTTCGGATCCCGATTCAACCAACTTGGGATACTCTGGCAGCATCTGGCAGCTGGTTTGGGTCGCATCTCTCTACACAGCTTGGCAATGACTTCGGACCGAGGGTTCCCAAGTGGCCCCAGAAAGTGATCTTTGAGTTTCAAACATCCTCTGGTGCCATCCAACTGTTCAAATATCGCTTGAAACCGAAATGTCGGTCAAGAATTGCAGTCAGTAATCATCCATTTAAAGAAATATAGTGAAATGTACTGTGATATCCAACTATATTTCACTATATTTTCCATATTTCACTATATCCAACTATATATTCTCCATATTTTTCTGGACCTTATTTTCAACTTTCGCCCATCGAAACACACCTGAGCTCGTCATGCTCTGAAGGAACACCACCGTGGCGGCTAAGGACACGTTGGGACGATGAACACAGAGCATGGTGGTCAGAAAGGGCACCTGACCGATGGGGATGTCACCAGCATCCAACTGAGCAAAAGGTGACTGGGTCATCTTCCCATATGGCAGTGGGTCAAAACCAATAGTACCCCTGTAGTTCACATCAAAATAGCTGGTAAATGGATGTTCATCCCCCTAAAAATGGTATTAATAGGTATTGATCCATACCCATATGTCACAGTCTTAAGTTCTACAATGGCTTATGGATTGGGTGAAGTCCAAAATATGTACTGTGATTATGCATCGATGCATGTAGGTACATATAGATGTAGATTATTGATATGCCTGATATGCATATATATATATATATCAACTATAAAGGGGTGCAGACCCACTGATTATACTACGAAACTTCACTTCCCAACCAGGATGGTGGCAACACCAGGATCCCAGCAAGCGGCAGTCAGCCTGGTTTACACTCCGGTAATTCAACATAGCTATGTATGGAAAATTGCTTTTTAGTTCGATGCGCCACAGCCAGTTGTGCGATCATCAATACCTGTATCACTAGGGTTCACCACAATTGAAATGAGATAACATGCGTGTGTCTGAGAATGGGGTACACCAAAATCCAAGTGTTTGTCATCATTTTCCCAATAAAGAAATATCATGTTATGGGTTTACAGTAATTCTATACCAATTCCTGAACAAATCCACGTCATAATATTGTTGGTTGTAAGATCATACACCCACTATCTCCATTATGCTTGGACAAATATCCCTACCACTGCCCCCAACACCTGCAGCAGCATAGCCACTGCCAAGAGCTGACGCGGCTGCACCACCCTGGCCAAGCAGGCCCAAATCGGAGCTCCAACTGCACCTGCGGTGTAGCAGTGACACAGCTTCTGTGCCATGGTCAAGTTAGATGGTTTATAATGGGATAACAATGGGCATATAATGGAATATATATATAGAATATATAGTGGAATATGTAGTGAATATAAAATGGTATGCGGCCAGATGATACATAAGGTGAAAGCCGCTTGGTCATCCCGCAATAGGAATCTTGGATGATGATCGATGGGTTTGTTTAATTTTTAATCCCGTTATGAAAATGGATTGATTACCACTGATTATCCAAACAAATAATATATATATATTAATGATCATAATATCATTAATATGATTATCGTGAAAATCCCAACATTTAATGATAGTAATCCTATTTCATTTACCATTGATGGCCATCCCCATATTTTTTTGGGTCTGTGTAATCACCTGCCAAGGCATTGATGGAGAACAGCAACATGTTGAGGATGGGCGGATCTAACCCGCTGCCGAAGACCACCTGCAGCCGGGCTGGGAATGCACTTTTAAAGTCACGAAAGAAATGGTCAAATGGTCAAGTCTCGTCACGCAAAAAATGGCATGTAAAAGATTGTAAAAGCCTACAACTTCGATGGTTGGGAGACTGTATGCTCTCGAATCCCCTTCGGATCAAAGCATCGCATGTCAAATGTCTCGTCTCATCGCTTCCCACCTTGAACCAGGGAAATCGCTTGAACCACATGGGAAGTTCGGTGGATCCGCGAATTCCCCATTCCTGGCGCCGTGGTGGATCGTGGTGGTGTAGGTGAATAGAAACACCGGTGACCAGCCGATCAATCTCCACATTCCTCCCAATATCGACCTATTTTCATAGCTACTTACTTATATATTATGTATATATGTATATTATATACAAGATATTTACAACATTACACTGGAATATACTGAAAGAATTGAAATAGTTTCAGAATTTCCCAAGTATCCATCGCGAGGCAGCAAACTGATGATCTAAATGCGTTCATCCATAAAAAGGACATTCTTCGCAAAACAAAGTTTTACTTTTGTGAAATTTTCGCCAACTCCGCATTTATCTTTCGGAGGCCCCATGTGGGGCAACAATGCCTATTATGAACACTCAGTCATTACCTGTCATTACCTGCCAGATTGTAATAGTTGATTATTTCATGATAATGGCCTTGTAAACATGCAGCTAGCATCACAGAATCCCTTCTCACTACAGATTCTTGCTTATTGAGTAAGTGCGCCCCGCCACACTTCAGTATTTGCTTTGGGGTTCCATCCTATCCAATGTCAAGACCAAAAAAAACTCGGCAAATCTCAGGTTCCATGGCCACCACCAAGACTAAGAGAGAAGACAAAGGGCATGCGATGTAGGCACAAGACACCAGCCAATGCACTCGAGCCGTTCCACACCATGGCTCAATGAGCCACTTTGCAACCGCACCGCTTTCACGCTCTTTGGATCGTTCGGTGCCAATCCTTGGAATTGATTTGCTGAAAGGGATGCCATTAATATGTGTACATATGCATGTATGTATATATGTATATAATATCATAAAATAAAATATATGTAATATAATATCATATCATGTTATGTAATATTATATCATATTATATTATATTATACTATATTATGTTATATTATATTATATTATACTATGTTATGTTATATTATATTATGTTATATTAAATTATATTATATTATATTATATACATTTATTTCAGATATTTAAATATGCACTTACTGTATTTATGTATATATATACGTGCAATGCCTTGGCTTTTTTCTTACACTTACATTCAATGGGGAAGATGAAGAACATTCAATTGTGAAAATGAAGAAGAATATAGAAGAATCTAAATTCCCACCCTCGCGAAACTTTACGTTCAATTCGGAGGATCAAGAAGAATCCAAATTCTCATCCCCATCAAACTTTACATTCAGTTGGGAAGATGAAGAAGGATCTAGCAGCTCCGGGCAAAGCACGGGCACCTGCAGTATGTATATATATATATCTCTTTGCATATGTGACATATGTGTAGTATTGTAGATTGAGCTTTGATGCTGGATCCAATGACAAAGCAAGTAGAAAACATGGACTCAGCACTACATCCGTTAAATGTTTGGCCTATCAATGTGTTCTCCCATTGAAAAACAGAATATCTTAACCACTTAACCGTGAACTCTTCATCATTCATCATTACTAACCCACTAACCCAGGAACCCATGATATCCCCATGGTGCTTCCTCAATTCAGCCTGGAGGCGTCTGCAAAATGGTCTCTATGCTGGGCAGATCAGCGTTGCTCGCATCCAGTTGGGCTGTGACCCTGCGCAAGGCAGCAAGCTTCGTTTCAGGCATAGTTCATTGGAGAATGGGATATATGAAAGAGACGCTAATATATTTTGCAGGTCCAGGACTCTTTCCTCGCGATTAGTGCAGCATTTCGGAGTTAAAATCTCTCATCTGAATAGGAATTTACAGCATCTAGGACCTAAAATCGGCAATTCGGACAGCGTGCAGTTGAGTTTGAATCTTGTTTGCAGAGTATTTGCATTTGCAGCATATTGAAGCTAAAATCTGAACTTTACTCTGTATTATTTGCAACATTTTTCAGCTGAAATCTCTCATTGGCAGGATGTTTGCACCATTTTGAAGCTTGGGCGTGCAATTTGCATGGTATTTGCATAATGTTGAACATTAAAGTCTGTAATTTGTACTTCCAACATTTTTGAACCAACATCTTTTAATTGCAAATTTCTTCTGTAAGTTTCGAACTTGAATCTCTCGTTCTTGCTGCAGAATGTTTGTACCATTTTGCAGCCGAAACTTGTCATGTGGCTGGTACTTGCATTTATTCGAAGTTGGCTATAATCTTTCATAGCGCTCTTCTTGTTACTTGTTCTTTTCATTTTTCTGAGACGTGCCAGTCTTAAGGCGCAGCAGGGATCTATCTTTTAGCGATGTTTTTTTGTCTTTCCGGTCGTGTCATCCCCATTGCCCTTCCATGCTTTGGTGTTCTTGCTTTTCTTGTTGCTGCTGTCACTTGTTGCCCACAGTGAAGCCACACTTCAGCCAAGTGAACCTAAGAGGCCAAGAAGCAAACACCAGCATTCTAGATCTTGAATCTCTCATCTCCATGATACATGCTCGCATTTGAAGGCAATTTGTAACAAATTCATACAAATTCTAGTTTAGTCTTATAGTAGCTGAGGAGTTTGGTTTTAAGATGTGTTTTTGTGGCAAGTGCATACTTCATCGCAGGGCCCGGAGGGGTGCACCACCTCCACCCCCAAAAAGAAAACAAAAGCACGTGTTCTGTTGTCGGCATTGTTTTCTCCCTACTTTTTGCTGTTTGATGTTGGATTGTGTGTGTGTGTGCAAGTCTTTTCGGCCTCTGTTTGATCTTTATGTCTTGTCAATGCTTCCCTTATTGGGAACCGGGCCCGTCGACATGCCAAAACGAACCCGGGAGATATAAAGGGACCTTCGCAATATAAACCTTTCAACCGCCAAGGTCACTTTTGGCACATCAACGGGTCACTTTTGGCACGTCGACGGGTCACTTTTGGCATGTGGACGGGCCGTTACTATTCTATTATTTACTATTTTCCAGCCCGCGGCCCGTCCAATACTACTTTGAATAGGATTTCGACAATTTTTCCCTTTTCCCTACTGCGTACTAAGGAATTTGAAACTTTCTCTCTCTTTCAATACTAATCTAAAGAGGAATCTTGTTTTGGCATCGCCCAGGTCACTTTTGGCACATCGACGGGTCACTTTTGGCATGTCGACGGTCGGTTTGGCATGTCCACGGGACGGATCCCCCCTTATTGCTTGCACTGATTTAAACTGTAATTGCAGCATGTTGGTATTGAAATGTCTTGACGCTATGTGTAGCACTTCGGACCTAAGATTCTGCCTTTTTTGGACCAGCATCGTGTTTTTCTCCACATCATTGCTGTTTTGATGCGTTTCAAGGTTTTCTTTCAAAAACCTAGAATAAAAAAACAAAAAAAAGACACCAAAATCAGAGAACCCTGAAAGCCAAGATACCAAAAGCTACAAAGGCCAAGACACCAAAGGCAATGCCACAAAAGCTGAGAGGGTACAAACTACAGAGGCCCCGAAAACAAAAGAAAAAGACATGCCACCATACCCAAGAAGGCACAAACCGGAAAAGAACCAAGAAATCAAAAGCCACAAAAATCAGAAACCAAAGCCGCAGAAGCGTAGAAAAGAGCGCAGAATAGAAGATATGAAAAATTAAAACTGCTATATAATGTAACAAATAATATAAAATTGGTGTGTAACAAAAAATGAATACCCCAAAAATGACAAATTGAATTTGGAAAATGATAATGAACCAACACATTTGGGGGTACCCTAGTTTAAGACTCCATCATCAACATGAAGCTCTTTTGGAGACTTCCAACTATGTTCAACCACAACAATATGCAAAATTGATGATTTCCAAGGCCCTGCCTTTCTGAGAGCTCTTCTTCAGTTAGCTCTTGCCAAAAGAACTCGTTGTCATCCTCAGAATGCCAGCCTGTTTCACATGTTTCAGCTGCCGCGATCGCTGGAGCTTGATCTGGAAACCAGTTGATGCTGCCGGTCTGCTCTGCGCTGGGAGAGCTAACATGACTTAGCTCAACGCTGGAATCCACACATCCAGGTGGCTGCAATAGTTCATAGGCCTCCATCAAGCTCTCCTGGAGGGTGCCGGAAGAGGGACAAAAGCCAGCTCTAAATGATGGATGGAAAGCAAATTCAGAACCCCATATGATAAATATTGATCAATTGGAGTACTTCTCCCAGCGATCATCCATGAATCCCACAATTCAGGGGGGCTTAGCAAAATCCTGGGTCAGATCCAAAGCATCAAAACATATGGGGTAGGAGCCACCCCACGGCCACGCGTGAATCATCACCTTCCCATGGTTTTTCCTCCATAAATTGGAAGTTCACCCCTCATCTTCAGACAAACCCAATACAGTAATAACCCTCAATTGTGCTGGTTATATAAACCCCAATTCTTGCCACAAACACATTGTTCCCTGCTTCCCAACCCATATGTAAGCGTATCATTGGTTATATCTTATATCTATAAAACATATCCCCATCACACCCAATAAAATATCCCCAGACCCTTTTTATGGTTTCGATGAGCCTCGATGTGTGCTATTTAAATCCCAATTTTCATGTGATGAAATGTGATAAATCCATATAAATCCATATAAATCCCCTGGTTCCCATCCCTTCAGCCTGCCATTCCACCAAGGGGAAGCTGCTCTCCATTGCTCTGCAAGACATCTCTCTGAGCGTCCTCTGACTAGCTGCCATTGCGCGACTCACAGCCGTCCGCAGTTCCCGGCGCAGGCGACTCAAATTCTCGCGGTTCTGTTGCACGTAGTAAAAGCCGGGAACTTTGCCCAGACCTCCTGCATAACGAAGAGCACATGTATCTATTTGCATGTCGTATGCATATGTCTGACTATTTTTCTTTCTATCTATCTATCTATCTTTATTTCTTGTTTTCTTTCTTTATTTCTTTCTTTTTTCCTTTCTTTTTGTCTTTCTTTCTATCTATCTACTTATCTATTTTTCTTTTTTTCTTTCTTTTCTTTATGTTTTTTTTTCTTTCTTTCTTTCTTTTCTTTATGTTTTTTTTTCTTTCTTTCGTTCTTTCTTTCGTTCTTTCTTTCTTTCTTTCTTTCTTTATGTCTTTCTTTCTTTCTTTCTTTCTTTATGTCTTTCTTTCTTTCTTTCTTTCTTTCTTTCTTTCTTTCTTTCTTTCTTTCTTTCTTTCTTTCTTTCTTTCTTTCTATATTTCTTTCTTTCTTTTTTTTCTTTCTGTCTTTCTATCGATTTATCTATCGTTCTTTCTTTCTTTCATTTTTTTCTTTTGTCTTTGTTCTTTCTCTATTTATTGATTTATTTATTTTCTTTCTTTCTTTCTTTATGTTCTTTCTTTGTTTCTTTTTTCCTCTATTTCTTTCTTATCTATGTTTTCTCGTATCTATCTTTTCTTTCTTATCTATCTGTTCTTTCTTATCTAATGTTGATTTCTTATCTATCTTGTCTATCTTATCTATATGTTCGGTCTTATGCGTCTTATCTATCTTATCTATTTTATCTATCTTATCTATCTTGTCCATCTTCTCTCTCTTATCTATCTTTCTAGCTCTCTATTTATCCCTATATATATATATAGATCCATCTATATCTATCTATATCTATCTATATCTGTCTATCTATCTCTCTATCTCTCTATCTCTCTATCTCTCTATCTCTCTATCTCTCTATCTCTCTCTCTCTCTATCTATCTATCTATCTATCTCTCTCTCTCTCTCTATCTCTCTCTCTCTATTTCTCTCTATCTCTCCTTCTATATCTCTCTAACTCCCTGTATCTCTCTCTATCTATCTCTATCTATCTCTATCTTTCTCTATCTATCTCTATCTATCTCTATCTCCCTCTATCTCTCTCTATCTCTCCTTCTATCTCTCTATCTCTCTGTATCTATCTCTATCTATCTCTATCTATCTCTATCTATCTCTATCTATCTCTATCTATCTCTCTCTATCTCTATCTATCTCTATCTATCTCTATCTATCTCTATCTATCTCTATCTATCTATCTAATCTAATCTAATCTAATCGAATCGAATCGAATCTAATCTAATCTAATCTATTCTACCTATCTATCTATCTATCCATCTATCTATCTATCTATCTATCTATCTCTCTCTATCTATCTATCTATCTATCTATCTTTCTTTCTTTCTTTCTTTCTTTCTTTCTATGTATCTATCTATCTATCTATCTATTTATTTATCTATCTATCCATCTATCTATCTATCTATCTATCTCTCTCTATCTATCTCTATCTATCTCTATCTCTCTCTATCTATCTCTATCTATCTCTATCTATCTCTATCTATCTCTATCTATCTCTATCTATCTCTTTCTATCTATCCATCCATCCATCTTTCTATCTATATCTTTGTCGTGTTCAAACAAATAGATTTTTTCCCAAAAACCTTTCGATTCTAAGAGGTTCAGTGACTCAGAGAGAGAGAGAGAGAGAGAAAGAGAGAGAGAGAGAAAGAGAGAGAGAGAGAGAGCGAGAGAGAGAGAGAGAGAGTCATTGCATATTGCTGTTGTGTTTTCAGGTACCATCTATACGTCTTATGTGAACAAGTTTGCGCCAAGTTCTATTGTTGAGCTCGTGCTTCCTTGGTGGAGCAGTCCCAGTTGTGATCATAGAGAATCCAAGGTCACAAAGAATGGAAATGGCTCTGACAGTACAATGTTACAAGATGTATGCATACTTATTCTGCACACTCATGTACCGAACGACATATCTGGTTAGACTCTTTTAAAGAGAGAAACACAAAAAAACAACAATCGAACTACCCTGGCCACTCCTGATTGCGCTCCGACAATCACGGCCCCTCGCCAAGCAAACTCGATGTCCACATATCCAAAGGGCTCATCGCGTGATGGCATCAAACAAAAGTCTGCACCCCATTTCAAATACGAGGGTGCTTCAATGAACTCACATTTGGCCACCAGCCTGCCTTGGAAGCGCTCCAAGTCAGCCAGTGCTTCCAATCTTCTCTGAGCATAATAGCCAAAACCATCTGCAGGCGGCCCAATCACCAAGAGTTGTGCCTCTGGATATGTGCTCAGTAACCACTCTGCCACATCAGCAAGGATATCCACACCTTTCTGTCTTACGAGGCGTCCCAAGGAGACGAAGAGGCGTGCGTCAGGATCTACTTTCAAGCCAAATTCGCGCCTCAGATTTAGTCCGAAAACGTACTTCACCATTCCTTATATATATACTGTCTCTATATAGGGGAACCAGAACTTGGACGGCCCTTCAGAATGAAAAAAACAAGATGAAGCCCACGAACCCGAATGCTCACACGTATGTTGATGGTACAGATGCCAAAACACATGGTTATGCAGTGACGCACAATACCTTTCTGCAATAGTTTATTTGAACAGTCTTGTACATGTTTCCCTTGTTACCAGTCTGCAGTGTGGAGTGGAAAGTGTAGAGTGTGGAGTGCGGAGTGTGAAGTAAGGAGTGTGGAGTGTAAAGTGTGGAGTGGGAAGCGTAGAGTGTGTAAAGTGTAGAAGGCGGAGTGTAAAGTGTAGAGTGTGGAGTATGGAGTGTAAAGTGTAGAGTGTGGAGTGTAGAGTGTGGAGTGTGGAGTGTAGAGTGTGGAGTGAGGAGTGTAAAGTGCAAAGTGCAAAGTGTGAAGTGTGGAGTGTGGAGTGTGGAGTGTAAAGTGAGGAATGTAAAGTGTGGAGTGAGGAGTGTGGAGTGTAAAGTGAGGAGTGTAAAGTGTGGAGTGAGGAGTGTAAAGTGGAAAGAGTGGAGTGTAAAGTGTAAAGTGTGGAGTGTAGAGTGTATAGTGTAGAGTGTAAAGTGTAGAGTGTGGAGTGTGGAGTGTAAAGTGTGGAGTGTAAAGTGTAGAGTGTGGAGTGTAAAGTGTGGAGTGTAAAGTGAGGAGTGTAAAGTGTGGAGTGTAAAGTGTGGAGTGAGGAGTGTAAAGTGTGGAGTGTGGAGTGTAAAGTGTGGGAGTGTGGAGTGTAAAGCGTGGAGTGAGGAGTGAGGAGTGTAAAGTGTGGAGTGAGGAGTGTAAAGTGTGGAGTGTGGAGTGTAAAGTGTGGAGTGTGGAGTGAGGAGTGTAAAGTGTGGAGTGTGGAGTGTGAAGTGTGGAGTGTAAAGTGTGGAGTGTGGAGCGTAAATTGTAGAGTGTGGAGTCTGGAGTGGAAAGTGTAGAGTGTGGTGTGTAGAGTGTCGAGTGTGGAGTGTAAAGTGAGGAGTGTAAAGTGTGGAGTGAGGAGTGTAAAGTATAAAGTTTGGAGTGTGGAGTGTACAGTAAAGTGTGGAGTGTGGATTGCGGAGTGTGGAGTGAAAAGTGTAGAGTGTGGAGTGTGGAATGTAAAGTGACGAGTGTAAAGTGTGGAGTGAGGAGTGTAAAGTGTGGAGTGTAAAGTGTGGAGTGTGGAGTGTGGAGTGGAAAGTGTGGAGTGTGGAGTGGAAAGTGTGGAGTGTAGAGTAAGGAGTGTGTAGTGTAAAGTGTAGAGTGTGGAGTGTAAAGTGTAGAGTGTGGAGTGTGGAGTGTAAAGTGTAGAGTGAGGAGTGAGGAGTGGAAAGTGTAGAGTGCAGTTTAAAGTGTGGAGTGTGGAGTGTAAAGTCTCAGGTGAGGAGTGAGGAGTGTAAAGTGCAAAGTGTAAAGTGTGGAGTGTAAAGTGTAAAGTGTAGAGTGTGGAGTCTAAAGTGTAAATTGTGGAGTGTGGAGTGTAAAGTGTAGAGTGTGGAGTGCGGAGCTTCCTCCATAGACACGGCGACGCCACAGGAAAACCAGAGACTCGAGACGAGACACAAGGGTGCAAAAAAACGAGCATTTCGTGCGAGACTTCCTCCAATTTTGATATTTTCGACATGTTATCAAACAGGTTGGAATGTCACAAAGTGCCACGCCTGCCACGCAAAACGACATGACAACCTGCTTGGACACATTCGAACAGGACATGTTTTCCAGCTTCCGCCATAGACACAGCGACGCCACAGGAAAACCAGAGACTCGAGACGAGACACGCGGGCGCAAAAAAACGAGCATTTCGTGCGAGACTTCCTCCAAGCTTGATATTTTCGACACGTTATCAAACAGGTTGGAATGTCACAAAGTGCCACGCCTGCCACGCAAAACAACATGACAACCTGCTTGGACACATTCGAATCGGAGAGGTTTTCCAGCTTCCCCCATAGACACGGCGACGCCACAGGAAAACCAGCGACTCGACACAAGACACGTGGATGCAGAAAAACCAGCATTTCGTACGAGACTTCCTCCAATTTTCACAGTTGGCAACATGACAAAAGGACAAGTTTTGCAGCTTCCCCCATAGACACGGCGAGGCCACAGGAAAACCAGAGACTCGAGACGAGACAGGTGGGAGCACCAAAACGACCATTTCGTGCGAGACTTCCTCCAATTTTCATACTTTGCAGCTCCAAAATCGACGTTTTCCTACGAGTTTTCCTTAGAACCTGAAAATTTGTAACATCAACATCGATGTTTCGTGCGAGGCTTCCGTCAATTTTCAACACATGTGAGAAAATGCCACGCCTGCCACGGAATTTGCACCTTGTCACCACTTGACGCAGCCCTGCCAATGCGATTTACAAAAAACACGCAAAAGGACACGTCTAAAGTGCTGCGCCTGCCACGAAAAATGACGATGGACACGCCCAAAGTGCTGCGCCTGCCACGAAAACTGCAACACATCTTCTGAAAACGTCGCAAAAGTATTGCGCCTGCCACGCGAAACGACTTTCAACACGTTGCAAAACACGTCTGAATGTCACAAAGTGCCACGCCTGCCACGCGAAACGAAGCAACGACACGTCTGAAACCTCCAAAAATGACCACCTCTGCAAAACTTCCCATAGGCACGGCCATACGGAGTTCGTACGAACGGTTGCGGACGGTTGCGGACGGTTGCGAACGGTTGCGAACGGTTGCGGACGCGGACGCAACGTCGAGCGAACACACTCTCAACCCCCAGACCCCCAGAGTGAAACGGGAACCCTTGCTACGCATTCGGGAAAATATCACAGTCCCTGATTCTCAGGCTAAAACCGCTAGTAAAAAGTTCGAGTTTCATCTGAGTCCGATGCCATGATATGCCATGAACCCCAGAAAAACATCGAAAAACATCGAAAAAAACCGAGTATGGCCGGAGCTCTGTACCATTGCTTTGGCCGCAGACTTCTTTTGTTTCAAGTCTTCCAGATTCACCTCTGCAGATCGTGATGGCTCGTGATCGCCAGGATGGATAAATGAGACATTCCCTAACCAATCTCGATTTTCTATGCGTAAACAAATGTCTCCTTAGCTTGTAGATGAAACTACTAAAATTAACCGATGCCATCTCTTGGCCACAAGAAAGGCATCATGCATTCTGTATGAACATTAGTCATTAGTGTGATAGAAATTGTGATCAGGGGATTAAACCCTGTACCCGTGTTTCCAGAATAAAATTGCGATATAGTAATCGACATGCATCCCTTAACTTTGGAAATATTATGTTCATAATATAATACAAAATAAAACCATATGATGTAATCTAATACAACATAATGTATCTGATACAATACGGTACAATACAATACAATACAATACAACACAATACAATACAACACAATACAATACAGTACAATACAATACAATACACTCAATACAATACAATACAATACAATACAATTTAATACCATGCAATATTATACAATACAGTACAGTACAGTACAATATCATACAGTATAATACAATATAATCCAAAATAGTGCCATGCCATACAATATAATACAACATGATATCATATTATATCATATATATATATATATAATGGATATAATATGGTATAGTATAGTCTGCTATAATACAATATAATATGCAATAGTATAGTATAATACAATATAGTATGATATACTATCGTATAATGCAATATTGTATGACATAGTATGTATAATACAATGTATATAAAATAAAATAATATTGCACATATGATATCATATTTTGTGAAATAAATATATATATATTACATTTACGTTTACATATACGTATACATATACGTATACGTACACGTACACATACACGTACATATACATATACATATACATATACATATACATCCCGCCGGACCGATCACCGGCCCATGATTTCAGGAAAATGATGTTTTCGCCACAGCGGCGTGCATGTTTCATGTTCAAAATGACCATCCCAAAAAATCACTGAATTCAGATGGCTCGTTAACCCTTACAGGGTTTTGTGTTCAAAAAGGATGCGACTTGAAATCACGTCCTTTTCACAGCATTGCAAGCTGACGTCCAGTCTTTGAGAGGAGCTGGCATGTTCCCATCTCCCAGCGCCACTGTTGAATTTTGATGTACTTCCACAGCTTTGGGTTTGGACAAATTCAAGTGGCGTAGCAAGTCCGTGACGAAGCAAGTGCAACGTAAGTAGAAGTGGCGTAGCAAGTCCGTGACGACGCAAGTGCAACGTAAGTAGAAGTGGCGTAGCAAGTCCGTGACGAAGCAATTGCAACGAAAGTAGAAGTGGCGTAGCAAGTCCGTGACGAAGCAATTGCAACGTAGGTAGAAGTGGCGTAGCAAGACCGTGACGAAGCAATTGCAACGTAAGTAGAAGTGGCGTAGCAAGTCCGTGACGAAGCAATTGCAACGTAAGTAGAAGTGGCGTAGCAAGACCGTGACGAAGCAATTGCAACCTACGTTATTACCCCACCCCACCCCAACCCCACCCCAACCCATCTCCACAACGTGGGCCGGTAAACGGTCCGCTAGCATATACATATACATATACATATACATATACATATACATATACATATACATATACATACACATATACATATACATACACATACACATACACATACACATACACATACACATACACATACACATACCCATACCCATACCCATACCCATACCCATACACATACACATACACATACACATACACATACACATACACATACACATATACATATACATATACATATACATATACAGTATACATATATATATATGTCTATTTAGGTATATACCATGGTTTATATGATTTTTCTCATAAATATGATCTTACATCATATATCAATATAATATATATATATACATATATCATTGATCTTCCATCATATAACAGAAGATTTTTGACCCATCCTAGGGTGACTTGCCTCCCGTTCGTCCTCCAGCATAGGGTTGTCGACACCACCGATGCCGGGCAGTTGCCAGAAAACGCTGTACCTTGCGAAACGCGTGACACGCCCATCCCAAGAAAAAAACACCCCCATTGCATGGCATCCCAATATGTGGAAATCCCCCATTGCATGGTCCCAATATGTCCCAATTATGTGGAAATCCACCATTAAACTTTACTAAACCGTGGTTTCCAAGGATGTTTAATATTGGAAAAGGATTGGTCTTCCCTAAGTAGGAGCAAGATGGAGCAAGCCATCAAGGAGTTCTGTCAACCTTTGGACTGGGTGCAAATCCTCCAATTTGAGAAACCCCACAGAAAACCTCAGATATTGGTGGTTTATGTTGGTTTTATCCCCACGAAACATCGCGTTCCAGGTTTTTCCCCGCCTTGAATGGCACTCAGCTGCATAGAATTGTGAAACAGCACACGCACCCCGACCCTCCTGGGACAACGGTAGGAATCCACACGAAGCGTTTGAAAATGTTGCTACACCTAGTTCCATCTAGTTTTTGGAAATGTTTGAAACACAATTTTTCAAAAAAACGAAACCCGTTTCCATCACCCCCGCTCCTGATGTGCCAACAGAAAGTCAACTCCAGCCTTTAGCATATTGAATCGACCTTCTGCAGTAAGGTGTTTTAAAACAAATTCCTGTGAAACATTGAAGATGCGCGCCAACTTCTCACATTGTCTTCGGCGAACCATGTCTGTCGAAACAGAGCCTTGGTACTCCGCATTGTGCAAAACGAGTAACATGCGAAGCACAGTTTGATCCGCTGAATCTTGACTCTGCAGAGCGTACCACGGCGCAATGCAGGCATGAAAATCAGGGCAGTGATAAATATGTGGTTTGTACAGTTGCAGCAACTTGCCCACGCATTGATTCCAAAGGGAATAGAAGCAAAGCACCTTTCTCTTGGACATCGGATTGGGATAGATGGTTTTCTTGTCCCGCTCCTCAAACCAAGGATGAGATAGCCTGGCTCCAGCGTTGCGAGCCCTGTGTAAAAAGTTGAGTTGCACCAGTTTGCATATGGGTTTCTGCGAAAATTATAGGGAAACCCTGAAAAGGATATATCAAAAGGAAATTTAGTTCGTCCACGGGTATTCTTGTCATCATGTTCATGTCTCATCACGTCAAGCACATCATCATGTCAACCACCCATCATCAACTGGTTACTGGGAAGAGTGACAGTTCGGAAGTTTGTGCGTTCACGGGTGAAAACACTCTCGGGCGCGAAACCCCGGGTTTTTTCTGGTCGCCGAAGTAGGGTCGCTGTTTCCGGGGTTGCGGGCCTCGATCTGGGAAAGTTGTCGAAGAAAAGTGCAAAGGACTGGCGACAGTTCGATTTCACAAAAAAAACCTTAAAAAATGAGGCGTCCGGAGCGCTTTGGAAAATGAGGTCGGCAAAATGCGCACGAGACCGTAGAGAGAGGTCGATTTCACATAAAAATCACCAAAACCTGGGTCGGAGCAGCACCGGATTTGTGAGGCCGAAGTTCCAGTGTCAGCACTGAGGGAACGTTGGTCGATTTGGCGTATGCAAGTTTGAACCCGGCTGTGACAAAACGCCTTGGCACGGCTCCGTGCAGGAAAGCAGTGATGCTGCGACGCTCCTGGCAAGCAGGATTGCAGCTGGAGGTTGCTAAATGCATTGCAACAGCTGCGCGAAGAGAAGAATTGGGCTGCAGAAGCTACAGAAGAGCTATCTGGGAGGCAGGTCACAGCAGAAGTAGCCTAGATAAGTAGCTGCTCAGAGAAGAAGTAGCTGAGAGAAGAGGTGCCTCAGCGAAGAGGTCGCTCAGTGAAGATGCTCTCAAAGACAAGCAACTCACTCATCCATCCGTCCATCCATCCATCTATCCAGGAATCCATCATGCATCCATCCACCCATCCTGCAATTCATTCATTGGTTCGTTCATTCGTTCATTCACTGATTCATTGATTCACTGATTCATGTATTCATTGGTTCACTGATTCATTTAATCTCTGATTAATTGATCCACGATTCATTGTTTCATTGCTTCGTTGGTCCACTGATTTATTCGTTCATTGACTTCTCATTTATTGATTCGTTGATTCGTTGATTCACTGACAAAATTCACTGATTCGTTGATTCATTGATTGGTAGATTCACTGATTCATTGATTCAGTGGTTGGTTGATTCACTGATTCATTGGTTCATTGTTTGGCTTATTCACTGATTTGTTGATTCACCGAATCATTGATTCACAGATTGGCTGATTCACTGATTCGTTGATTCATTGATTGATTGTTTCATTGGTTCCTTGGTTCATTGGTTCCTTGCTTCGTTGATTCGCTGATTCATTGATTCAATTCAATGCTTCATTGATTCATTGGTTCATCGACTCACTACTTCACTCATTCAGTGATTCATTGTTTCATTGCGTCATTGATTCACTGATTCTTTGATTCTGTCATGGATTGATTCACTGTCTGATTCAATGATTCATTGCTCCGTTCCTTCTTCGATTCACTGACTCATCGATTTATTGGCTCATGGATTCGTCCATTCATTGGTTCATTGACTCATTCAGTCAGCTGTGCATGGATTCTTCATGACCTTTCAGTGGCATCTCATCAAGCATTTGCTCAAGTTGTTGGTGCACCTCACAACTTCAACACTTCGTTGCTTCTGCATCTCAAAATAATCCTATTGGCCACCTCTTTCCTGTAGTAGTTTTTTTGTTTTCCAAACTCCGCCCGGGCGGGCACTACTGGAAGATTTTATCGAAGGAAGTTTAGACGTCAAACTTCCAACAATATGTTGAAATGAAGCATCAGAGGCAGGAAGAGTTACAGTAGAAAAGAAAGCAATAGGAAAGAAGATCAGAGAAGAGAAAGAGTCAGCAGAAAGATAAGCAAGGTACGCGAAAAGGTAGAAAAGTCGCGAAATGCCGTGTTTTTCCAATGCTTTGTGGCTCCGAAAGCTCAAAAAGTAGGCTCGCTAAAGCGGCAAGTGCGGAGCCATCTGGTCGGATGAGAAACCAAAAATTGCTTGCGGCTGTGGCGCGAAGCACATTCTGAAGTCAAAATGTCAAAAACAATCCAGGTCCGGAGCACTTTTGGACGTTGAGATGTTGAAAAAGTGCACGCGACATCTTGGCGCGAAGCACATTTCGAAGTCAAAAGGCCCACAGCACACCAGGTCCGGAGCACTTTTGAAAGTTGAGATGTGGAAAAAATGCACGCCGCTGCGGCACAAAGTACATTGCAAAAACAAATTGGTAAAGACACCACATGCTCGCATCACTTTTGGACGCTGAGCTGTCGCAAAAGCGCATGCCGTTGTAGCGTGAAACCATTTCGAAGTCAAACTGTGAAAAACACTCCACGTTCGGACCACTTTTGGACGTTGAGCTGTCGAAAAAAGAAAGATAGATTAGAGAGATTAGATTAGATTAGATTAGATTAGATTAGATTAGATTAGATTAGATTAGATTAGATTAGATTAGATTAGATTAGATTAGATTAGATTAGATTAGATTAGATTAGATTAGATTAGATTAGATAAGATAAGATTAGATAGATAGATAGATATAGATAGATAGATAGAGATAGATAGATAGAGATAGATAGATAGAGATAGATAGATAGAGAGATAGATAGATAGATAGAGAGAGATAGATAGATAGATAGAGATAGAGAGATAGATAGAGAGATAGATAGAGAGATAGATAGAGAGATAGATAGAGAGATAGAGAGATAGAGAGATAGAGAGATAGAGAGATAGAGAGATAGAGAGATAGAGAGATAGAGAGAGAGAGAGATTGATAGATAGATAGATAGGTAGATAGCTAGATAGCTAGATAGCTAGATTGCTAGATAGCTAGATAGCTAGATAGCTAGATAGCTAGATAGCTAGATAGGTAGATAGATAGGTAGATAGATAGATAGACGTTTTACCAAGATAGATGGATGGATAGATAGATTGATAGATAGGTAGATAGACAGACAGACAGACTGATAGATAGATAAGTGACAGACAGTCAGACAGACAGACAGACAGAAACATAGATAGGTGGACATGCAGACAGGCAGTCAGATAAGCGAAAAGATAGACAAGAAAGATGGATGAATAGGTAAATTTATCAAGAAGATCAACGTCCACCATCGACACTCCAACCACCTGTCACTCCGTCATCGACTCCAACAACTCAACCTTTCCTAGAGTGCTCCTATCTTTGAAGGCCATGTGCGGTACTACGGCATATCATAATTTCCCGACTAAAATGGCCATAAAATGATATAGAAAATGGCAGTTAATCCTTCATTTCTGGACAAAGTGACATCATTCAAAACACGTACTGAGTGTACTGTAAACCACAGGTCCAAGATGGTCCAAGCAACAACAGGAATCCCCGTTTGGTTGCAGTGGGACTATCATCATCTGCAGGCTTGCACTGAAAAACTTTCACCAGCTGCTCTTGTTCGTCCACTTTGATTCTGAGGGGTGAAAGCTCAAAATCGTGGCCTTGCTGGTTAGAAAGAAACAACAAGGAAACCCTTTTCCCCTTTTTTTTGCGGGAACCCAGGAACCCTATTTGGATCACATCAACTGCAACTGGCAGCCCGATTCCCTTCAACCCTCTTACACGCTGCTTGGATGGTGTCAACCGTCTGGAAGTCGCAACCACTATTCACATTTTTTTTTACAAATGGATTAAAACGTGAAATCATATCGGCGATACCTATCAAACTGTCCGTACGTGTCTGTATAGGCATGAATAGAATTGGATATTGAATTTCATGTGCATCTAGATTACAATTTTTACACACATGTCTATAGCTACAAAGGACAAAGCGATGTTGCAAAGAAAATGTCAAATACAAATTTCAGCGGTCAAGCGTCGGTACGTCAAATCTTTCAGTTTCGGATGTATCATGAGGATGTCTGTAGGGTGGTGACGAGCGACCAGGTTCATGACTTTCCCGAGACCACCTGCCTGCGCCTTGCAACCCAAATGAGGGATGGAATGTTCCAAGGATGCCAACATGACCCGAAACCTTCCAGGATGTAAACGATTGAATTCTCTTTCGACTTGTTGCGGCCGCGGGCTCAACAATGCTTCTTCTGGATCCATCGAACGGTCGCCACTATCAGAACCGTCTGCCGTCACTCTCCGTCGCCGGGCACAATATTCGAAGAACCAAAACAAAAGAGCTGGAAGCGGCCAGGCAAAACATAACCAGACCTCATTGTTTTCCCAGTTCAGGAAGAAAACAGTGGAAATAACCCGAAAAATTTGGGTGAGGGACAAAAATACTGTATATGAAACCGATGGGAACTGCCAATTGCCAAACCCACATCCAAATAACACCCAAACAATATCATAAAATTGTCACCGAAAAAAACTGGTCATACGGGTTATATATGCAACATTTTTTGATTTTAAGTTTCAAGATTGAGGGTTTTAGAGTTTAGTTTTCAGGGTTTGGGGGTTTCGGGATTCGGGTTTCAAGGTTTTAGGGTAGGGTTTATTGTCTTGGAATGTTGAAAAAAACAATCATACGCAGGGATTTGAGCATATCAAAGGATGTGCAAGATCGGTGGTGGGCAAACGTAGGGGTTGCAGCAAACATGTTTTAAAAACCGACATCAAACACCCAGGCACAGAAATGACCGGAAAGGGCACTCCATTGTCCAGGTTGACTGCAGCGTCAGAGAGGCGTCTCCACATTATTTCATCACCCTGTTTTTCGCATGAAAAAAGGTGATCCACAAAGGGGCTGGATCAAAAAGCACAACAAAGTTTTTGTTTTGCAACATTTACGTAAATAATACACGTGATTCAATGTCCCGATTTATAGATAGCAAACATAACTATAACGTTGCCCAATCCCAACATACCCATTGTGAAAGGGTCTCAGAAGGCTTCTTTGAGCCGCAAACGCTAGCAGCCGGTAGATCAGCATAAATGCCAATCAAATCATCCGTGGATTGTGCCATCGTCCAGTGAAATAATCGCTCTCAACTCTCACCTCTTATGATTGATCAATAAACCATAATTTTCCCATTTTGCCAAAATGTTATAAACCGTCCCCAAGTTTATTGAATTTATTGTTCGGTTTACTACGTTGCTCCGTCGTTGCAAATCATCCGTGGATTGTGCCATCGTCCAGTGAAATAATCGCTCTCAACTCTCACCTCTTATGATTGATCAATAAACCATAATTTTCCCAATTTGCCAAAATGTTATAAACCGTCCCCAAGTTTATTGAATTTATTGTTCGGTTTACTACGTTGCTCCATCGTTGACAGTGAATCAGATTGCAAACGAAGTCAACCCAGGTACAAAGAACGGTTGAAAAAAATATATATATGTTTTCACAATTTCAAACATGTTCCGGCATCCATTCCGGCAAACTCCACACAATTGACTATTTGCTTGAAAAATCGGCAACTCCTTACTACTACGTGAATCAAATTGCCAAAGCAAGTTTATAAGTCAAACTTACTACTACGTGAGTCAAATTGCCAAAGCAAGTTTATAAGTCAAACTTCCGACAATATGGGCAAATGAAAAGCAGAGATGGGAAGAGTCAGAGAAGGCAAGAGAACAAGAAAGAAAATCAAAAAGAGAAAGTTTCCGAAGAAAGAAGATCCAGGTGCGCGAAAAGGTCGGAAAGTCGCGAAACACAGTGTTTTTCCAATGATTTGTGGCTCCAGAGGGACGAAAAGTAGGCTCGCTAAAGCGGCGGGCGCGGAGCCAGCTGGCCAGGTGAGAGATGAAAAATTGCACGCCGTTGTGGCGCGAAGCACATGTCGAAATCTAAATGCACAAAACACCTCAGTTTCGAAGCACTTTTCGAAGTTGAGATGTCCAAACCGTTGTGGCGCAAAGCACATTTCGAAGTCATGTACAAAACACACCAGGTCCAGACCACTTTTGGAAGTTGAAATGTCGAAAAAGTGCACGCTGTTGTGGCGTGCAGCACATTTTGTGAAGTCAAAATGCACAAAACGCCACATGTTCGCGCCACTTTTGGACGTTCAGATGTCGTTTCGTGTGCCAGGCGCAAGGGATTGTGCACCTTGTCAAAAGTGAGCAAAACGTAAGGTTTTTGTAGCATTTCCAAAAACGATGGCAGGCGTGGGACATTTGAAGATGCAAAGACTCAGACGAAAACGCTGCAGTCTATTTTCACTCGTGCCAAAAGGGTCTCACAAGTTTCAACTGCACATGCTGTTCATGTCAGTCTATGAAGTGAAATGACAAATGCAACTCTCTTATCGATTTGTGCGTGTCATCCTGGCACATGTGAGTGGGCTCCACAACTTTCCACACTCCTCCTTTGTGGCTTGAGCGTGGCTCATTCCACAACTCCAAAAATTTTCACCTCTCAACGCAAATTTCAGCTCTGCTGTCTGACTCTGCATCATCCAGTGAAAACGTTTTCGAATTCAATCTTTCAAATCATCAAGCTCTGCATGTCTTCGACATAGAGCCTAAACCTGTCTCGGTGTTCATCATCTCCTCTGTTACGGTGAAAACGATATAGCCTCTGGAATATGTTTCTGATCTCATTTGAAATTCTTGTACTGAATCCCTCTCCTGCAATGGAATCTAGCACCAGACAAATTGCCTGCTGAATGCTGCTAGCCTCATGCCAGCGTTCTGCTGCAAGAGCTTGGTTCTGATCTACCCTCATGTTCTGTAAGAGGGCTTCCATTCCAGTAGGTCTATTGGATTGGTTGTCCTCCACGTCTGTTGTTGGACTTTCCTCTTCTCCTCCTTCGTGATCTTCTTGTTGATGTACAATTGGGTCAGTTGAATCTGCACGGTTTCTATGATTCCAAAGCACCAGGTTTCATCTTTCTTGCGTCAGCATGTGTCGATACTGCTCGGCTGTCAGTTTGGCGTTCCTGACAAAACCACCTATCTCCATCAGTCCATACCTCACACAATTTGAGGTTTCCTCCAGAGCATTGAAACCTTCAATAGTCTCTTGTTCAAAACCAGTCTGTCTAGCCATCACCGTGTCAATTCTGTTTGACGCTTCTGTTGCCAAAGCGTTGCAATCTTCTATTCTTCCATTCAAATCAGCTGCATACTCATAGTGATCGGCTAATTGGATCTGGGCTTGCTCCAATTCGTTTGAAACTCCCAGCACTTGGTTCTCCAGTTTCTTGATTTTCTCTTCAATCCACTTCCATGCTCTGAATGCCAGCTTTGAAAACACAGTACACATGCAAATCACCAAAACCGCAATTGTAAACCCACCCTTGAAAAGTCTGCAATGAAAACCAGTTCACATTCATACAACAAATAGAACAACCTCTGTCTGCTCAAAGCTTTTGTCCCGATGTCTGCCACGTTGAAAGTAGTTGGAACCTGTCGAAGTTTGAAGGTGTTGTCAGCTGTTTTCTCCTGTATCCATAACAGTTTCCCTGACAGATGCCTCACTTTACCTGACCCTTGCCTGCTTGCCAATTGCCTTGCTGAGCTTGAGTCGGTAAACTGAAAATGTTCCAACGGTTCATCCAAAACAAAAGCAGCACATGCCTTAATGAATATCCCATCGCAAACGCAGCTAACCAAACTATGAAGTTCACTTTCACATGAGCTAAGTGATACAACTCGTTGACTTCGGCTGCTTGAATACATGAAACATCCATTGATGAAATGTATCCCACATGATGTTGAGCGGCGTGTCTGCTTGTTTGCACTCCAATCGGCATCGCTGAAGCTCTCAAGTACCCATCGGCACTGTCCACCAGAAATAACCTTTCCTTGACCATCTTCAGGAAATGGCAAGTGCAAACCAATGTCCCCCACAGATTTCATGAAGCCTACCATCTTGCGTAGGCGTGCAAGTGAAGTCAAAGTGGGAGCACTCATGTATGACGCCAGCTCCTTTATGGTATACATCAAATCTGGCCTTTCACGGCCTGCATACAGACATAGGCCCACAACTGAGCGATATCCCTTGGAATCTTTCTCTGAAAGTCTTTGAGAATTGTCAGGCAACTGGATACTTGCATCGCATGGCACTTTCTGTGATCGTGCCGATCCAAACATCTTCTCAAACAAAGAAACCACCTTGTCCACAGTTGTACCCGGGGCCAAAACTAGGCCATCTCCAACCTCCATGATTTTCCTCCTCAGGAAGGTGATGCTTGATCCTGGGCCTTTCAGCTCATCATGACTCACTGAAAATCTCTCTTTCATCTTCTTCAGAAAAACGTTGTTCCAGAAAGATTTCAATCCCACAAAAAGGATATCATCGACATGTATCATGATCGTGGCCTCAGGTGTCCATGCCAAGCATGGTTGCTCCGGGCAAAACTCAAAGTTCATGCTTTCCATCAAGAATGATTTCAAATACAAGAACCATTGTTTTGCTCCAAGACGTTGACCTGGAAGATTTCTCTTTATGATGAAAGGCTGCCCCTGCAAAACCACACGCACTGGATCATCCTGTTCAACCTGCAGAAAGGCATCACGCACATCCAAGCTTCCCATCACAACATCGTAATCCTCCTTGCATGCTGTCTCACAAATCTTGCTTTTCATTCCAAGATATTTCAACTGCAGAAGGTTTGCTGTATGGGTTCCAGTGGCAGGACTGAAAGTGTCCAATCTTTTCGTTGTTGCAAATTCACGCGCCACTAGTCTGGATCTGCGCATCCATCTTTTCCTTTCACCTTCACCTTCTCCATAAGACTTCAAACGCCAACCCCTGACCATCTTTGTAGTCAAAGAACCTGTGATTTCGCCTTGGAACTCAGATTGTGGCACCAGGACTTGCATGTTGCACAAACGTTCAATCTCAACCTTATCTGCAAGGTCGTCAATCCATTTTTCTGGACTGCCAGGCGCTGGTTGATCCACTGGAGCGTCTGACCACAAATATTCTGGAATTCCAGTCAGCACGACCAAATCTTCACCAACCCAGTCCTCATCCTCTTCAGCTGCTTGCTCAAGATTCAAATCTGTCTCATAATTATCCATAGTGAAGTACTCTTTGTAGGCAATCTTGACAGCACACAATCTCTGCTCGTATTCAGCTTGTAACCTTGCAATGCGCTGTCTCTTTGCTTCATCCAAACGTTGCCTCTTTGAAGAGTCCTCATCAGAGGGTTCTGCTGCTCGAGATGTTGCTGGCTCTCGAGGGCTTTCAACTTCAATGTAATTCCTGGGCGGTGTCACCGGCACTGCAAGACCTGGATCCCCTGACATATCATCTGCAGTATTGGTCAGAGGTGGAGTCTCTGCTGTCACATAGATTGGTCCACTGGGTAATGCAGGACCATCATCATCCACAACCTGCATACCTTCCAGTTCACCTGCAACTCCTTCACCAAGTTTCTCACGCAAAGCCAAACTGAGTGGGTCGTTGGCTGACATGTGCAACTGCTCCTCCTGCGCTTTTTGTTCATCAATTGCATATTGAATCACTGCTTCAGCATCTTTGTCATGCAATGCACTTTCTTCAATTGGTCCCAGAGGCACCTCAAGCGCAACTGACTTGGGCACTGGTTTTCTCATAGTTGGCAAGATTCTTGCTCCAAACCCAGCTTTGTACTGCCATGAAAAACACCGACAATGCAAATAATACGCCATGTGACTTTTTCATTCAGTGTTGATTCTGCGCACGCTTCTTGTAAGGAGAATTGATTGTCCATCAAATGCCACATAGCTGTTTTGAATGTCAGCTTTTCCCAGAAATACCATCCTTTTCCATTTGGCAGTC